TCCCCAGGCTTGCAGTGTCTGGACCTTTTACACCCAGAACGGAAGCCGTTGGAGAGCTGCCTCCTGTCTCAGTTGTGTCTGCTGTTCTTCGTGGTGTGAGAACCTAGGGATGCTTTACAAACTCATTTTAAAACAGGAATGTAACACTCTGGTTTCTTTTCTGAGTGTATAGATCTTTCACTTTTAACAATAGTAATGTATCGGCTTGATGCCTGGATTCCCCGTGGTAAGGGGGTGAGGCAGTGAGACCTGGAGTTGGGGGCCAGCCTGGGCTACAGATAAAACCCTGCATCAAAAACAAAACAAAACAAAAAACCAAGAAACTAAAAACAGTAATGATGGCAACACACACACACCCTCCACCCAGCCCAAAATAGTAATGGAATCATTAAGTATTGTATAAATAGCAAAAAAAAAAAAGTTATGAAAATAACTATTTTCCCAAAACAAAAATCCCAAGAGGAGTGGCACTGTTCTGCAGTTTGCTTCAATGTCTCATTTAACAGAAGACAGCTGGGTTCCCATCTCCGCCTCTGCATTCAATTTGCTGGAAAACATGGGAAAGCAATCCTACACCACAACAGCTACATAGCTGGCGAGCGGAGTTGGCAAACAGATTCTTGGTCTCAGAGATCTTCAAACCTCACTTTTAGGCCCTCAACTAGAGGCAAAAAAGGCTGGTGCTGGACAGCAGATAGTAGATAGTTCCTGTCCAGAAGAAAAAGCAGGGGCCATGGCTAAAGCCAGCTCCTTAGGGACTGATTGCATCACCTCCAGAGGAGTCTTGTTCTTATTTAATGTTACATTTTACTCTGTTTCTGTTAGCGCTTTGTTGGTCAGTGACAGAGGCTGCTGCCTTGGGGAGCGGTCCCTCTTCAGATCTTTGTTTTGTCTTGTTTGCATGAATGCTCATGCATTTAATAGGACAGTCACAGGAGAGCAGGACCCTAGCTTTCTGACATTCTAGGCCCTCAGTGCTGGTGAGCAAGCAAATCCAGAAGCATGCCTGATTTATCTGCATTTGGTGACCCACAGTTGCACATAAACAGGTCTCAGGGGTTTGAGGATCTAGGTGCTAGAGAGCTGAGGAAAGCCGTGGAGAGTGCTTTTTGTGTTGCAAGGCTGATATGTTTCTCATCTGCCTGTGCTCTCTGGTGGGGGCTAGGAAGCACTCATGGAGGAGTACGCCATCGCGGCCCAGGTGTGGAAGCTGAGTACATGCGACCTGTGTGAGATCGCCAGGAACAGCGTGCTGCAGAGCGGCCTCTCACATCAGGTGTGTGTGATGGGCTGTCTGTCCCTCAGCCCGTCAGTGTGCCAGCACACAGAATGCTGTGCCCAGGCACCAGGATGGGTGACGAGCTGAACAAGCCAGGTCTCAGGAGCACTGACACTCGGGCGCCATGAAAACCTTGAGAGGTCACAATGGCTGCCCCTCATCTATCTCAGACCTGCCCTCAGAGAGAGGCCTTCCCTGTCTGCCTTCTTTCTCCTTAATCTATTTTTTCCCATAGTATGCACCACTGCAAACACTGTGCCATGCATTTCCTATGTGTTTTCAAGTTTCCCTTTTGAAAGGGAGTTGAGTACAGAAGCTCATTCCCTACATTCCCAGGCCCTAAAATAGTGTTGGCACAGAGCAGGCAGAGTGCACGCACGAGACTCAGCCTGTTTCTATGGCTCCTTTAAGAATCGGATATGGAACCAACACTGAGAACCTGGGCTACTGCCCAGGGAATGTCATTTAACAGAAAGAGACATCCTTACATGGTCTTGGGGAAGATGACAGTTAAAGGCCTAAGTGCTGTGAATCGTTCTGGGATCCGGCCTCTTCAGGAACATGACTGTTTGCCATGTTACCGCTCAGGATGGATTCCTGGTCTTAGTCCCTTGCCTCACCCAGTGTAGGCCCATCAATTTCGTACTTCTCTTCCGCAACAATGGAGAGAATGACTGAGTGGTCAGGGTCACAACATGGAGGTCCAGGGAGATTTGAAGTCCCATGGGAGGAAGATGTCCTATTGAAGACCAGCATTAGGGACACTCGTCTGTGTGCTGGGGCTCATATCAAAGCTGCCTGTGCAGATGGAGAGATTACTCTGGCTTCACTTGTTTTTCTCTTGGCCCACAGGAAAAGCAGAAGTTTTTGGGTCAGAATTATTACAAGGAAGGACCAGAGGGCAATGACATCCGAAAGACAAATGTTGCACAGATCCGGATGGCATTCCGCTACGAGACCCTGTGTAACGAGCTCAGCTTTCTGTCCGATGCCATGAAGTCAGAGGAGATCACAGCCCTGACCAAATAGGCCCAGCGGTCCACACACGCTTTCACCTTTTGGTTTAATGTCAGGTCTGCTGGGGCTAACGGTGGCCAAGATCTCAAGCTAGGGCTTCCATCTGTGATGGGACACCTCTGAAGAAATCTCCGCCTCCTGATTTTGGTTGCACTCTATGGACATGCTCGCTTGGTTAGCATTTCTGAGCCAGAGGCTGGCTCCCTCCCGTGGGGATCTGGGAGCTGGCACTGTGTACACCTGTCCCTGATTGTCCACGTCTCTTGTGATTGCCAGTGGTTACATGGTTGGGGCTGGGACTTTGCAAGGCCGAATGCCAAGTGACACAAGGCCTGTGTGTCGTCTGCCACACTCCTCTCAGCAGGCCCTATAGTGTAGTTCTCATTTTGGCGTCTGGCTGGCTGCTTGCCTTAAACCCCCACCAAAGCTCCCTTTCATAAAGGGGCTATCTTGAGAGAAAATACAAAGCTCCCCTGTTGACTATTTGTGCATTTTTTAAACAAGTTTCTTTCCCTGTTAGCATCCCTCTTTCCTGTCTGGTTAGGAAGCCCAATGTACCCTCTGAGGTCATCACTTCTGTTCTATGTTATTTTCCTCATCTAGGACTCCAGTCATCTCAAACCATGTTCTGTGAATCCATCTCATGGTCCACTCCTCGGCTGGGGAAGATACAGGGTGAGGTTCTGGGGCTGTTCTCACTTTTTTGTTTTTAAACGGAGGCCTTTGAAAAGCACAGGACCTCTGCTCCTTTTGGCTCTAATATCCTACGATTATAGCTGTCACCACCTCCCCCAGGAATCAGACCAGGGACTCCTCAGGGCAGTGAAGTATGCTTCAGGACACACTTCAGGACTAGAGCCAAGTTCCTGATCCAGTCACATCCTGACCAACTACCCTGCCTCCTCCTACTGTTTTAGGCTTCACATATTTTAGATTTTTAAAATAGAATCTCTCTAACACAGGGCATTTTATTTTAAAGCAGATTTCTTTAGAAGCTATCACGGTCCCAGGGACCACGTAGAGTTTTTAAGTTTAACATGGACTTTAGCTTTATCAGACGACTCATCTTCATTACTAGTGCCTAGAACACAGTAGGTGCTCAATAAATAAATATGGAGTAATCGAATGACTTTCTCTTTTGGCATCTGTATGTGCAGAATACTCAACAACGTTCAAAGACCTTCCTAATTACTCACAAGGCAGGAAGTCCTGCACCATAGTTAGATGAACCTAATTGTACCTGGAAGATCCTCATTTAACTAATTATCCCGTCCTGTGACTCTGCCGTCCTTCCAGTGGTCATGTAGTGTTTGGAACCATGTCATCCTTTTACTAGCATATACACAGACTATCTTACCCAGCTGAGTATGAAACCGAACGAAAACCTGTCATTATGAGGGATTATTTTTGAAAAGCCTCCATTTGTATACATTTGCCCAAACATAGCAAGTATTGTACAGTTTTTCATTGTATCAAATACTTTTTTAAAGACTACAAATAAAGTCTGTTAGGACTGTGACCCAACAGAGCAAATGTTTCTTTCTTATTTTACTTTTGAGATGGGGAACATGAAAACCTCTGAGCAGTGGCACACTGACAACGAAAACCCACAATTTCCAAGCCAAAGCTCAGGCAACCTCGTGGTCATTATCTGGCACCTGAGCCTAGCTTCTGCCTGGCCCACAGAGCATCCGCAAAGCCACATCTGGATGGAGTTCTTTGCCTCATGATGTCTTAGTTTGTTCACCAGTGTGTGGTGGTTTTACTTGTCCTGAAAGCTGCTCAGATACCTGTTTCCCTAACACTCTGTTTTATTAGATCCTTGTGCTCCCTGACCCTCTTGGTGTGTGTGTGTGTGTGTGTGTAAATCCCTCCTTTTGCCTGAAGCCACGGCAACTGTATACGGGCTCAGGTTCCAGACAGTACCCTCTGGCTGATTCCTAAAGGTGGATGGTTGCCTTATACCTACTTAACCTGTACTGTTGAAAGTCAGCACCATCTCCCCACTTGGTGAATCCACACTTTTGTCTGGAATGAAGGCAGGTCTGAGCATCCCTGGCTGACTCTCTCAGTAGCTATTGCTTGCTGAGGGGTGAACTCATGACACAACACTCATCTTTCTCTGGTTCTCACACACAGAGGAGAATGATTGGTTATGATGCACCTAAATGTGGTGTCTGCACCATGACTGTCAGAATAACCATACCACCAGGAAAAGGGGCACGCACCACAGACATGCAGCCTCTGGCTCCTGTGCTCTCATCTTTACGCCGTATTCCGTTAAAACAGAAGCCGATGAAGAGCGAAGACTATAGAGTGGTAATTTAGCAAAATACATCTGAGGAACTCTTGTGCTTTTGATAGTAACATGTATTTCTCCACAGTATGGCTGACAGACACCAAAGCTGCCACCTCCTCCTGCTTTCCCCCTTTGGCACTAAGATTTGAAGCTGCTTCTCTACATGGAAAAGCATTCTCTACATCCTTTTACATGGAAAGCACAGGACTGCCAGAGCACAGTGCTCAATCCTTTATTCTGTCTAATGGGTACTAGGACAGAAAAGCTAATCAAAGTCACAGCAGCTGCTTACACTGCCGTCCGCCGTGCTGCCCCTCAGAAATGTAGGTGATGAGCTGACAGGTAAAGTATGCTTCAGTTGAGAACCCTCCCCCCCAAAACAAAGAAACTCCCAACACTTACGAATGCCAGTTATTCAGACTATCTTTTAATGCACCCAACTTCCCAGTGTTAAAAAATCAGGGAACCAAAGGTTTCCAAGCAGCCTTATTACCCAGCTGTACATTAATACAAGAAAATCACCTCAAAACAGCACACAAATATCACGATCCCCAGAGCATAATATAAAACAGTCCTCTAATAAATATAAATATTTAGTATATAAGAATGTGCAATTACATAAGCAAAAGTCTTTTTAGTTAGCTAATGTTCACTTGCAAAGTTTACTTATTGCACAGTGTATCAGTTTCTCCTAAGAATAAAACAGGCTTTGCTCTTCTCAGCCTTTACATCAGCACACAGTCAGACTCTTTCTGAAACCCAGTGTCTACAGTATCCGAATCAACTCACTGTTACTGAGTGAGCACAGCACTAACATACAATTTACAACAATTCCCTAAAGCAGGAGGCAGTTCACACATCTCTGAAGGCACACAATTTCCTACCATGGTAAGTGTATTTACGTAGTCCTTATTTTAAAAAGACAAAGCTGTACAGAATAGAAAAAGTATACATTTTACTGATGAGACAAATGTACAACTTTTATGATTAGATCCTATGGTGAACTCTACCTACTGTACCTACCTACTGTTGACATCTGAAGAGTCACCACCCAGTTCAACGGAATGCATAGAGAACTCTGCTCACTACTTGATAAGGCAGTTGGAGACATGACACTTCACAGTAGACCAGTTAGCATCTCAGAGCTCACACTTTAAGAAAAGGGAAATGGGCAATAGCAAGTCACTGAACTCTTTCTTTCAGTTCTTTCAAAAGTGAAGGATTCTGGGGAACAGAAGTATTGGCTATTGCTAGAAATATCCCCAACCCCTAAACTATGCATTTCATTTCAGAAACACTTTGAAATGACACAATTTGAATTAAACCCAGCAAGTCTAAATCCAAAAGGACAATTTTAGGGCTAGAAAACACCTCAGAAGATCACTTATCCCAAGGCTTAAAGAATGTGTTCTATGGAGCACTTGCCAATCAACAGACGAGCTTCAATCATCTGCAAATATGTTTTAAAGATTTGTTTTTGTTAGTGTGTGTCTGTGTGTAACATGCATGTGGGTGTTCTAGAGATCAGAAAAGGGCGTTGGACCCCCTGGAGCTGGAGATGCAGGTGGCTGTGAACCACTAATGTGGATGCTGGGGAGTAAACTCTGGTCCTCTGCACGAACAGCAAGTGCTCTTACCACTGAGTTAGCTCTGTAGCCTGACCACCCCAATTTTTTTATTTTATTTTTTTGAAATAGAGTTTCAGTGTAGCCCAGGCTATTCTTGAACTATGTGGTGGAGATGACCTGGAACTTCTGGTCTTCCTGCTTCCTCCTCTCAAGTGCTAGGGTAGTAGGGGTGTACCAGCAGCACTGTTTTTATGCAGTGCTGGATGGAAGCCAGGCTTTATAGACACTAGGCAAACACTCTACCAACTGAGCTACACCTCTAGCCCTGAATTATTATTTTTACAAAACAGAAGTTTTTCATTCACAAATTCTAATGAAACTGTATCACCAATGCATTTTCACATTTTCATATACTGACTTAAAAGTGATCACACTGTTAAAGTTTACATAAGAAAACCTCTATTAGTAAAATGTAGCTTCTCTGTAATGGGGTAGCATTGTGTATGCACTCAGTGTGAATAGACTCTCAACATCTACTTGAAATGCTTATGTTTGAAAACCACAAATGCAATCTCAGTTCCTCCATAGGAACCTACAGCAGAGTAAGGCTTTCTCAAGGTCATGAAACCATCACAGCTAAGGTATGATAGATGACAGCACTGTGCAGGACTACTTAGCCATCTGGTATGCATGTCACTGTCCTGTCATTACAGTGAGTAGACTACTGATATCTTCAGTGTTTGTGGTGCAGAATCAAGCCAGACCTTTTTCTTTGAAAGGGATTTTATTTGAATGTTCATTAAAATCTGAATCAAGTCAGATGTTTTTCTGTGAAAGGGATTTTATTTGAATGTTCATTAAAATCTGAATCAAAAATCAATAAGCAGTAACTTCAATTGTGTACACCTATACTGAGGAAAATAGGAACATTTGCAAATTGCCAAAAATCAGTGAGAAGATTTCTATGGAATGCTAAAATTTCTTAAAGGGGACTTATTTCATACACTAGCTTTTTTATAGGCTGAACTGTTAGCATTAACATCTTCTTCCATAAGCCACTGCCGAGGTCGCTAAGGCTGCACTCCTGTTACTGTTCTCTCTCCAGAAGCTTGAATAGTGCAGAGAAATGGGGAGAAAGCCAATCGAGGTCTGGATTCTGGAGTTTTACAACTGCATGGTGAAGACATTTACCTGATCTTCCTCTTCTTTTAATCTGAGAAATTTGAGGAAACCGAAGCCTCAGAAAGGTATTTTTACCTAAAATGCAGTCTAGCTCAGGATTGGATGACTCAGTGTAACCTGGAAATATAAAATGTGTGTTTCTATAAAGAAAAAAATTCCCTCTGAAAACTCAAGCTACATGGGCATTATGAAAACTCCAATGGACACCTATTCAGGTCTGGAGATGCATTTCTAAAACAGCCATGAAGATCCCTCCAGTATAGTCCATCTTCGAGACAGAGTCCCAACCAGACAGTCCTAATCTGTGTGCTGCATCATGGCAACATAGAGAGTCGTTCCAGAACCCAAGGCCAAAGGTGACGTATAAAATCGGGAAGCTATTGGGCCACAGTACTGAAGGATCCAGGGGCAGAGCACACTCGACTCAGGTTCCAGCTGAGACATTAGTTTCAGTCACTTATCTCAGATGGCTACAACTGTCAACACTCTAAAATTAAAACCCACTAAGAAGATGCCAGAACAGTCCCTCCCTCCCTGAAAAGCAGTAGTGTCAAGTATTGCTGCTATCTGTAGCAAAGGGCTCAAGAGCAACATAGAATAGGTGGGCTATGGGAAATATGGCTAAACAGTAGCAAACTGTAGCCCACCATTGCTGGAAGACATGGGAGTTTATTTAAGAACGGGACATATTATCAGAATAGCAAAAATAAGAGGGTGGGAAACTGATATTTCTATGTGTGCCACAACGTCCCTCCTCTATGACAACAGTGTATTTGTAGTTTGGAATAACAACAGGAAGTCTTCCCCCAAGTCACGGCCTGTGGGGCTGGCCTGCCTCATCAGCCATGTTAAGAATATAGTTAGCCATGTCATCTTCAGTGGGTGCATCTGACACCACCCACGATTCATTTGCTCCAGTCATCTGTAGGCGACAAATGGGGCAGTTCCTGTGGCGATCACTCCTGTCAGGGAAATCCAAGCAAAACAAGTTTTTCTTTTCTTTTCTTTTTCTTTTCTAAAAGAACTTGTTTGTTTGAAAAGTACATGGCTTTAAAAATGCAAACAACATAAAAGTGTACAATGAAGAATTAAATTAATCTTTCTCTTTATCCCAACCTTTAATTCTCTTTCCCAGGGTCAACTAGTTGCCTTCATATTTTACTAGGATGACTGAAATGTCAAATATGTGGGAAAGGAACGAATGTGTATGTTCTCGCTGACCTTGTACCTACAGCTTATAAACCATTGTGTACTGGTGTATATAATCTTTTTTTTCTTTTCTCCTCTGAGTAGCCTTGATAGCTTGCTTGCTCCAGCCTTCTCAGGGCTGGGGACTGCAGCATGCTCTCACATACCTGACCTGAGTTTACTCTTTGTCAGAAACATGGATTGTATGGATATACTGCAAAGTATCTAATCCTCTCCAGGAGAAAGATACCTAGTCCCCTCATCTTGTTTGCTACCACCAGCCAAAATCTTCAATTCTTATTTCTGCACCCAAGTTTTCCTTAATAAGAATTCCTTATGTGTCCTAAGGGGAAGCCCCCTCATACCAATGGGAGAGTTAGTCAAAGAAGTGTAAAATGTGTAAAGTTTAAATATTTATTTTTAATTTAATTGGAAACCACTGCACCTTGGAACTCGTGTTTGGCCAGTGGTAGGCACACTTAGCAGAAAGGGTATTACTACTTATTATTTTGAGAAATTAAGGTCATTTTTTAAAAAAGATATTGAGTCTCTATGTAGCCCTAGTTGGCATAGAACTTGCTATATAGACCAGGCTGGCTTTGGACTCACAGAGCTCTGTCTGCCTCCGCCTCCTCAAGTGCTAGGATTAAAGGTGTGCACCACCACATGCAGCAAAAGAATTTTGACAAGTTATTACAATTAATGGTCAGAATAAAATGTCCTTCGGCTTAAAACCAAAAAGACTTAAGGGAGTTGTATAGGGATGGAACATTTGAGGTTTAAGACTAAAGGTGACACCCAATGCAGAGTAATTTCTGACACAGAACATATACATGATTACTTAAGATTATGTTTTGCAAAGGGATTTCTCTCATCAAATACTATTTCAGAAACTTAAATACCATGGTTTGAGCTAGAAATACATTACAAAGGAAAAGGCAATGTTTTTTCTCATCTCAGTGAAATCTAAGGCCAAAACAGCCTGTTTATCAACTGTGCTTTGGCTTTTGTTCAAAAACTGAGAAACTTATTCTAAAAACTACATGTGAAATTTAGAGTTGGCAGACATTATTTGGTTGATTTGGGGTCCTCCAGGGATGGTTTACAAGATGGGCTTTTTCTGTACATAAAACATCACAATTTAAGAGCAGTCAAATTCTGCTTCTGGTCAATAGGAACCAGATTTATCTTCCCACTAAAAACAACTGACACACAGAACACAATGTCCAGAAGTATGGTGTTAGGTGAGGTCTAATATAAAGCACCGGACATCAGACAGGGACGCGACTCCCAAGAGCTGAGAAGCAAAGTGAGCCTGTGGTTGGAAGTCAGCTGCCCTGTGAGAGTTTACAGGGCTCAGAACGAAAAGTAGGGGATCAGAAGGCCTGGCTGGCTGTTGAAGACCAGTTGAGGCCAGGTGGCGAAGTTCACAGGGCAGAACATTGCACAGCAGAGGGCCACAGAGAAACACCAAGAGACAGCAGGTCCCTCTACTGACCACTAGAGCCAGCCAGTGTGCGCAAATGCTAGGAGACTGAAGCTCTGAGAGTTGTATGCAAAGGCCACAGAGAGCATCGGTTGTGCTTCCAACTCCAGGAGCACCAAGTACAGCATTTTGAAGGAATTTGTCTCATCAGTGGGAAAGGAGTAACAGGAAATTAAACTTTGCTCTAGGCCTCCTAACAAACTGTAAAAGGACCCCAAACAGTTGAAAGTCCTTCTAAGTAAGCAAACCATATTTCAAAACAAAGCTTGGTTATTTACAGTATTAAGAATATTTAAAACCTAGATAGGTAAAATTCACATCTGGAAGGCAAATGAGCAGCAGAAAAACATTGTAAGACATGATGAAAAGGAAAACAATAAAGCCACACAAGACTGACAGGACATTCGAGCTAGCAGATAAATGAAAAGCTGTAAGTACAGTCACTGTACAAGAGTCTCCATATCTACTGAACGCAGAAACGGAGGCTAGAATGTGAGTGCGACCATAGAGCAGTGGCTGAGACAGAGGACAAGTTCAGGGTCAACACATGGTAATGGAGGCCAAAGGAAGGGAGTAGAGAAAAGCAGACAGACAAGATTTGAGAAAACAATGGCTGAAAAATTTCCAATATCAACAGCACCATTGCCCTACTATATAAACAAATCCCAAGCAAAGAAAGCTGGCTGGGTGGGGTGGTGACAAGGCATCTCCTACTCAAATTGCCTAAAGGCAGTGGAGAGATAAAGACCTTACAACAACCACACTGCCCCAGAGGAGAAGGATGCCGAGACAGCGCCTCCTACAACACGAAACGAGACAAAGTGGAGCCCAACAGTGAAGCCTGGAGGGAAAAGCTCTTGGCCTAGAATTTTGTAACAGAAAAAGTATCTTTGGAAAACAATGTTCAGATGTTTAATAGAATCATCAAGATATTCAACAGAATCTGCAGAAGACTACCAAAAAGTAAGTGGATTTCATAAGACTTCAGGATACAAGATGGTTATAAAATTATTTGTCTTCTTATGTACTAGCAACAAACAAAAACTACTCAGAACAGCACAAAACTATAAAATATCCAAAACTGCCAAGATCTCCAACACTGAACACTATAAAACTGCCTGCAGAAATGAGAAGCTTAACATTAAGAAACCAACTGTCCCAAACTGACATAGTCAATACAGTATCAATCAGTGTCTCTGCAGGCTTTTGTGAAGCCTGGTACACTGATTCTAACTCCCTATTAAAACATGTGGATCAGTGCCCATGACTCTAGATAGGGAGACTTGTAAGGCAGCAGGAACCAGGACAGCATGGGACTGGAGTGAAACAGATTTAGATCAGTGAACAGAAGAGTCGTGTACTTGAACAAATGATTTCAAAAAAGGTTTAAAGGTTAGTAAAGATGGTCTTTCAGCAAATTATATAAAACTGGGGTACAGGCTTAAATGTGAAATCCCAAACTTGTAGAAGATTAATAACTTCTGTGCCTTTGGAACAGGAAAAGATTGTACAGAAAGGATCACTGTCACAAACTGAAATTTAGCCTCACTGAAACAAAAACTTCTCCTTCAGAGACACTCTCAAGAGAAAGAAGACAAGCCATAGAAGGAGAGAAAACATGTACAGTCATATGATAATAACTCCCAATAAAGAATGGGCAAAGACTTGACTAGGCCATCATTTAAGAGGCACAGATGATAACCTGACAGCCAGTAGGGGATGAAAGGAAGAGCCATAGAGACACTGCCCCATGCCTGATTACAATGCTGGCTAGCACAGGCAAAGGCAGTGGAACTCCTATGTGGTACTGGAGCGGGCACAAAAAAAGATGAGAAGGAGCCAGGCATGGTGGCACACATCTACCCCAAATTTGAGAGGCTGAGGCAGGAGGATTACCATAAGATCCAGTTGAGACCTTCTTGGTCTCTACACTGCTAGATCTTGTCTCAACAAACAAACAACATTTTTTTTTTTAAAGTATGACTTCTTTTGGGAGTGAGCTGGCAATTTCTTGAGAAACACCTGCTATATGACCTGGCCACCTGAGGTAGCCACCTAAGAAAAAGTCGAAATAGATGTCCATAAAACTACTAGTCCACAACAGATAAAGAAGCCTTTATCTGCTAATTATCTGCACTTATAACATGGTTAAATCTTGAGCTGATTACACTGAATGAAAGGCACTAGACAACAGAGGGAACACTCTGTATGGTGCTACTTTAAAAAGTCTAGCAAATCCAAAGGACTGTTAGCAAATGAAAGCAATTAACAGCTGCCTAAGAACCAGGCTTCAGGTGATTCTGGGAGTGATGGATTTTCTCTTCATATTGTGACAGCTTTCATGAGTGTGCACATAAATTAAAGCATTTCTATTTAGACACATGTAGTTTACTCCATGTCATTATACATTCTCCTAAATGTTCCATTATCTTATAAGAAAATGACTTCAATTAACTGAGCTAATATCCCTCCAGATCCCACAGTTGAGGATTTGGTTCCTCCACACACATATAGAGAATTAATGGGGGGGGGCACAAAAAAGAACTGATTCTAGATCCAAATCAGGCATCAAGACTCTTAAAGTAAATGTGTCAAAACCATGCTGTGTCCCCACACTTCACAAGCATTAGGTATGAAAATACTGAACTAGGGGGCAGCATACCACAGGGACTACTCAGAGGACTAGAGAGCAAAGCTCTCATGGTTAGCACTCAAGTGTTTCTATTTCCAGTTGTTGATTCAGTCCCAGCTGACCTCTGCTATCCCCAAGGACAGTGGATAACTTACCATTTATCAATACACTTCTGACAGAAGCTGTGAGCACAGGGCAGGATGAGGTCAGCTCGCCCGTCCATGCAGATACAACACTCCTCCTCATCAGTCAGCTGCTTCACCCTGAGTGTGACAACTGAGCTGGACAATGACAGTCTCTGTGCATATGCTTCCTACTTTGTCTCACTGCCTTAAAAAGCACCAGTAAACACCCACAGTATAAACCACAGCACGACTTACATGCAGAGCGAAGGTCAGACCAAAATTAACATCTTCTGGGCATAGCAAATATGTTAGGGAAGAAACACCAATGTTAAGTTTCTAAAGACGGTAAAAGACAAATACTGTGCAGGTGAAAGAAAACTAAATCTGAACAAAAAACTGCACATTTAAGTCTTTCTGAAAGAACTCAGCCCATTTTAGGCATATTAAGTTTACATACAGGAAATCGACCAGTATAGAATTTATTTGCCATAAGGGTCACACACAGATGCCTCGTCATCAGGGCCTTACAGTGGCACTGACAGTATTGGAGGAGAGAAGAGGCAGCAGGGTCCTAAGATCAGACTCCAGAGAGAAGACAAAAGGACTGGAGACTTAGGGAGCTCTGGGAGAGAACCTTCTACTGATGCTGGCTACAAGCCAGCGCCACAGGAGCCCTGCTCCTTTGCACAGGGAGTTTAGGCAATCCCAACTCCAGTAGCTCAGCTTAAAATATCCATTTCCTTCTGCTCTCAAAATCAACTTCAGCCTCAATTAAATGAGTTAAAAACTGCATACAGCTGTTCCTTGGTTAGTCACCTCATAGGTTAGGTTTTTTGAATGTAATGTTTCCAAAAGTGATTTTCAATGTTTTATTCTTTGCGCTTTCCTGTTGCTTTAAACTGAACATTTCAAAGTATAGCCCCACTCTCCTTATGGGTAGGAGCTGTGTCTGATATAATTTCCATTCCCTGTGGTATTTACAGCATAGCATGAAAGTCGGCAATAACACTTGGAATTTGTTGACCTGAATATAATATAAAGAAATGCCAAATGTACAGCACATATAGTATGTGCCAAGTAAAGTACACACATTTGGAAATGTGAGAGGAAAAAAAATCACGGAACTTTGACAGAGAACTAGGAGCATAAAGTAAGTCATGGAGGCATAAAAGAAAACATGAAGCCTCTGTGTGTGTGTGTGTGTGTGTGTGTGTGTGTGTGTGTGTGTCTGTGTGTGTGTGTGTGTGCATGCAAGGCTGCATGATGCTCAGCAGTTAAACTGAGAGGAAAAGACTGATTATATAGCAAAGACAATCCGAGTCTTTAATGTCAGAATAATAACTCTGAACTTGTTCTAACAGGCAAACTAGCAGCAGCATGAGCTCTTGCTGATACAGGACTTTAAGAAAGTTAACTGAGAGTGGAAAGCAAGAGATAGTTTACAGAGAGGGAAACCAGGTAGAACCTTGTCTCACAGCTCTTGAGAGACAGCGGGGACTGGTTTAAGGAGCATTACAACAGACATACTGTGAGGGGGAGGTAACAGATTCATGTTTGCTCTGGTCATGGAGAAAAGCATGCCCATGAATTGAAATGGTGAAATGGGTGGAAACCTATATGCATAGAAATCTGATATGTGTGCTCACACATACACTTGTGTATACACACATATATACAATACATCAGTCACGTATAAATAGACACATCAACATTTCTATACATATCTGACATCTTAATGCCTTTTCAGTTCCACTGATTTAGCATTTCTGCTTATGGGCTTCAAATCTTCACCTGAGGATGTCAGCAACAGAGACTATAACAGACTCCCCAAAAGAGTGACAGGGTGTTCTGACAGGAAAGTTTCAGAGTTAGGAGCAGACGGCTATAAATAATAGCACTGTAGTCTGAGAAAAATGAGACACAGAGATTGCCAGAGGAAGGTACCCCATGCCCACAGTGACAGGACAGCCTCTAGGGTACGGAGAACCACATGAACAAAATCTGGAGACACTCTGGAGAACAAGGCTCAATGGGAATTTGTGTAGTTTTCAAACATTTGAAGGGCAGGCAGAAGAGATCAGACTTGTTTGGTGGAATTCCAGAGGGTATGGCCTCTCCACTCAAGGACACTCTAATGATTTACTAATCATGGTGACAGGTAACTCACACACACATACCATTACATGCAGGACACCTTCTGTGTGTACCATCTATTAACTCACTTAACTGCCCCAACAGTGCTCTGGGGCACTTGCCCTTGCTCTCATCCTCTTAAAAAGGTGAGAAACTGATGAAAGAGAAGAGTAAAGGCTCAAGCATAGGCCAATTGGTTCCAGGGCTTTTGCTATGCTGCCTCCAGAGGCCCAGACTACTCTGAGGCAAAAGGGAAAAGGAAAACGTTCACACTAGTAACGCTGTCTAGGTGAGCAGATTGCTCCTTTGAGGCAGTGAGTCTCACAGAGCTGTGGACGTTAGCAGTAATGCAACTTTTAAGTACAAGCTGGCTTCCCTTCAGTCAGCTATGGCTCAGACATGTTAGTGCAGAGACAGACAGACAGAGCAGCTCCTGGGACTAGTGGCATCGGAGCACCACAGAGCTGGCTCCAGCTCCTCTTCCAAACCACTGAGCTGCAATGGGCTAAACGTTTGAGTCTTGCCTATGTCAGCTTCTCGTCACGTACTTACTTCTTCTAAATCTACTTCCTCATCTGATCAACTGTATCCCCATGGAGTCACTGTTAGGATTTAATGAACTGCAAGTACGTCACAAAACTAGCCATTATAGAACAACACATCTAACATAAAGTGAAACTGTAGAAAGCTCCCAGACTCTCCTTCTACATACAAAGTCCTTTTTCTATGACCTGGTATCAGGATACCAGTGGAGGCTCACAACACGTGAAGCCAAGTACTAGCTCACCCAACCAGCTGGCACTGTTCTCCTAGTCGTCCTTGAGTCACACTTTCACCACCTTCCTGAACATGACCGCAAAAGGAACTTTTTACTTCTTGTGGTGTGGCTACAGAGGCAAGTAAAAAACCACTCTCAGCTTTCAAAACACTTAGAAAAAGATCACCACTCTGAAGTCAGACAAGAAAAGGGCAGAAAAATCAGACCTCTGACAGGCCTAAGCACTGCTACAGCACTGTGACACTCACACAGCAGGCTGGTAACATAGCCCACTAGTAAATCTAACAGGGAAGTCCAAATGGAAAACACAAGTCAACGACAACAGCACAGCACGTGGAAACCAGTTATTACGAGTGAAGCGAAAATGCAACTGTACCTGAAGCAATAGAGAGAAACTCCTGTCAGACGCTAACTCTAGAGGACAGAGTTGACACAGATTCTGCATCACACCACCCAGTGTCACAGTAAGACAGAACATTAACAAGCCTGGAACCACAGAAGCCTTTTTCCAATGAGATATTTACAAATTTAATTATGTCACATCAAGCAGCCACAGGTGGGAGCTTTCACACCCTAAAACCATAGGGGAGCTTACAAAGAACAGTAGATATGAGGCCTGAGTGAACAAGCACTGTCATGGCAAACTGCAGCTGATGTCACTTCCTCCTATGAAGGGTCCATATGTACACCACTGCTTTTCTTCCCTGAGTAGACACCAAGGCCTGAAGACAATATTTAAAAACTTAACTTCCAATTAAGTAACTTCTGAAATGATTTTGCCAGATTCTTGGACATAATGTTATAAAGGGCTTCAACTGTTTAAAAATCTGTTAAAGGGAATGCATCAGTATCTCCTGTCTAAATGTAAGAGACGGAGAGTGGATTCCTGGACAGTAAGCTGACAAACAGTTCCTGCTGTGAGCCACCTTAATCTGGGACTGAAATGAGTGGAAAGACAGACTAACCTAAAACTGACCTGCCTACAACAGGCTGAGACAGCAGAACTGAGGGTGTCACAGAGTGCTAGGGAGAATGCACTGTGATCTTAGCACTTTGCTATTCATTGTCCTGTGGCTCACACACCTGCCCATCCAGAGACTAGCCTGACAAGACGTTACAGAGGATGGGTTCCCATCAGGCTCTTCAGAGGTGGAGCTCTGAGCCAACACTCCAGCAGCTTGGCTTGTGATGTCTTTATATAGCTGGATAAACTGGTATAAATTCATGATCCGTGATGCCTCCACGATGCCACTGCTTTTGTTAATCTAGAAACACAAAGGGAGAGGGGAACATAGACACACAGCAGTCAGTCAAATGTCCTGGGAAATAGAAATTTACAGTGCACAATATATCTAGGAAAGTAATAGTCTAAATAAAAGAACATACACATTTTCTTCAATTCTCCTCAGAGAAGGAGAGCCCCCCTTGGGTACTACCCTACCCTGGGGCATTTCATCCCAGCAGGAGTAGAAACAATCTATGGAAGATGTCCAAGCCACTGATTCACTTCATTTGTGAAATCAAAAAATTCAATTGCTTTTTGAAGTTTAATGTAGCATTCTGGCTTTAGTTTAAAAGTACAAAATGAAGCATAACTATATACAAAAAAGGGGCTGAAGAAATAACTCAGTTGGTAGAGTGTATTGCATTTGATCCCCAGAACCCATGTTTTTTTAAAAAAAAGAAAAAAAAAGCCAAGCATTGAAGGACTGAAGAGGCAGAGACTGGTACATCTCTAGGGTCTGTGACTCACTAACATTTACTTTCAGTATACTATCCCATTCATTCTAGTGATACACACACACACACACACACACACACACACACAATTATCATACATATATCATAAAATCATATCATAAAGTTTTTTCCTTTTTTAATTAATGAAATCCAGTGTTCTTAAATCATCTTCTGAGATAGCTCTAACTCTTCAGACTACCTTTTATCCTTCAAGACTTGCTTAAGACTTGCTTAAGCAGACTCCATCCATGTCCATAAACAGAGTGCTATCATCTATATAATGTATTTCAGACTGTCAAGTGACTCATCTGGGCAGAGTCTGACTGGTCAGGAATGGACTTCTGGGCATTCACAACTGTGTAAATTATGACTTGTATGGCTTGTCTTACCTTTTAGAAGAAGGGTTGAGACTGAAGGAGAGCAAATAAAACTCATTTCCTCTCAAAGGCCTGTGGCTAAGAACTGCTATTCTGATTAACTTACTGGGAGCAGAAAGCTTTCTGCAACAGCTTCCATGATATTTTTAGCAGTTATCTACAATACAAAAACTAAACTACAAGATAGTATGTCTCTCATAAAAGGTCCACTCCATAACTCAAAATCACTACAACCTCTCTGATGGTTTGTTCTTACATGAATGTAATCCAATGTTTTTAAAAGAAGGGATTTCCTGAGATAACCAAGTTTTAAGGTCTCATCTCAGAGCTAACTATGGTGTCCTCTGAGGGCTCCACAGCAAGCTAAAGCTTCAGAAGACAGTTGGGAGGTGGGCATAATTTGATTGCCACTTTCTCTGATTGTAATAATCTCTCTGACTTGTCAATTGAAGAACAGTGAGAGTCAGACAGCTTGAAGGCAACATCAGTACCAAACGATGCTGGGAGATGACTTGGTAAAGTGCCATAAAGTGTCAGTCACACAGGAATGAAGACCCAAGCTCAGTTACTCAGTAACAACATAAAATCTGGGTACAATGGCATGTGTATGTAAGTTCAGTGCTGGGGGAGCAGAGATGAACAGATCCTGGGCACGGGTGGGGTACATGGCCTGCCAGTCTAGATAAAACAGCAAGTGAGCTTCAGGTTCTGTGCAAGGCTCTGTCTCAAAAAAAAAAAAAAAAAGGTGAAGACTGACAGAGAGGCAGACATCTGATGTCGACCTCTGGCCACGACCATGATGTACACATGCATATATAGACTACCACACATCCCATGCCCCCTACACACACATACACACACACACACACACACACACACACACACACACACACACCACTAAGCTTTATAAGACTAGCAAATCAATAACATTTATTTACAAAATCTATGACATTATTAAATGTGCCTCTAACTACCAAAACAGTCTAAGCTCTGAAACAGAAGACTCTACCAGTCTTACCTTGGTACAGACCACCCGTACAACCACTTTCCAAAAGGCAGAGGAATCGGACCCAGGTTGTACCTCAAAGAGAAGATGCTTTTCCTGGCCAGCAGCTACCTTAGCAGTTCTGAAAGAGGCAAGCACAATTGTTATTTTTATGAAAAGGTAATAGAACTTTGAAACCAGACTCAAGAAACCCTTTCCAAGAGGGAAGGAAATAACAAGTCAGAGACAGCAAAAGTGACTATAATAAATAGACTCCTATAACACAGGAACAGAGAATGTCCTGAACACACACTCCGTATCTTTTGAGTGTCTAAAAAAGATGTTTTGAAAAAAAATTAGTCCAAGGCTGGGCATGGTGACAGCAGCCTATAATCTCAGCACTTGGCAGACAGAAGGACAGAGGATCAGGAGTTCAAGGCGAGCTTGAGGCCAGCCTGGGCTGCAGGAGGTCCTGCCTAAAAGAAAACAAGCAAGAACAACACTGACAAACATAGCCCAAGAAACCTGGGACTTTAAGTAAGGGTTTACTGGCTTAGTGTACACAAATGCTGACCAAATGTGCACAGCCCTGAGGAATACCATATTCTTGCTTGAGTTCTGTTACATAACCACATTAACATACTTTTTGGAAAGCTTTTAATTTATAGTAATTTTTAATTTGGCCAGGCAAAACTAATAGTTTGTAGTATTAAGTATAGTTCTATTGCCCTTTCCTCATGAAGTGGTTACAAGCCTCGCTAGCATAAAGACCACACAACACTTTCAGTATCTTGCTATCAACACCAACTGCAATCAATCTGAAAACCTATCACTGCAGCTCCCTGTATTACTGCTCACTGTTCTCGGAACACTAGCAGGACAGCTGCAAACAGTTAAGTGTCTTCCAGCTAAGTAATGTAACTGGCCTCAGTCAGTACAGTCAGCCAAGGGAAACAACTCAGCTGTGCCAGCTTCCAGTTGCTTCCTGGATACCAAGCCACACCTCTGTAGGATTGACTTCATTGCTGGAGGGCAGCAGGAAGCACTGCACCTATGGAGTGTTCAACAATAGCCCATGGAAAAGAGTTTCAAGCTACAGTGCTGGCACTGCTTAGTATGCAGACACCAGCAAGAGCTTAGGTTTGTTTCTCAACACTATTAGAACAGAAACAAAACAAAGCAAGAAAACTATCAAAAATAAACAAAACAAGCCCTCAAACTCACTCAAATATCCTGTGCCAAATAAGTAAAAGAAATGTATTTTTACTATTACCCAATAATTTAGCACACAGGTGATATCACAGAACACAGCTTTTTTCCCCCTAGAACCTTTATATCAGTAAGGAAAATTTCATCAACTAATCTGAGTTTACATATATAAATTTAAGGACTAAAGGATGGCAAATGTTATTAAATTCCTAGGAGTTGGAACAATGCATGGGAGAAATGGCCCAGTGCTTGGTAAGGCCCTTGCCATCAAGCCTGACCACCTACAATACCTGGGATGCTCATGGTAGGAGAGAACAAATTCCAGCAGTGACCACTGACCTCTACATGTACACTTCCTCCATAAATAAATAAATGTATTCTGTTTTTTAAAAAAAGCTGAAACAAGAATAAGGTAACCAATTCTTCTAATATTACTAAATTCTTGGTCCTTTTTTATTCCTTACAAATATGATCTCAGAAACAAGCTATTTTTCTTTTTTCAATAAGTAAAATCCAGTGTTCTTAAAAGAAAGCAATTCCTGATAAAACCTTAAGACTGTCCTTTAGCCTTCATAACTGACTGAAAATAATACAGCTACATTCATAAAGAACGTATGATCTTCTTACCTAACATGTTTCATATCGTTAGTATGTCCTTTATGTCATAAATGCCTCTGGAACCAGTGCATACAGATCACTGAATGCTATTAATAGTGACTATACTACTACGAGTTTGTATTTAGTGGCCATGGGCTTTGAGGTGGTTGAAGAAGAAGTAATATAGGATAATGGAAGAAACTTCCAATTCAGAGACGGTTAGAAGTGTCATCAATATCTGAGTAATCAATTAAAATGGTTAGTCAGTTAAATACTCAAACCCTTGGCACAGTGCTTTGTGTATATTATGTGCTCAGTGATAACAGGTTAGATTGAAGAGACTAGAGAAAACTTTTAGATCTTACTTAAGGGGACTGGAAAGATGGATTGGTGGTTAAAAGCGCTGACTACTCCTCCAGGTGACCTTGGTTCAATTTTCAGCACTCACATGACGGCTCATAATGGTCTGTAACTCCATTCCCACTGGATCTGGTGCCCGTTTCTGGCTTCTACAGGCACCAGGCATGCATGTGGTGCACAAACATATGCAGGCAAAACCTCATACACATAAAATATGAATATTTTTAAAGATATTATTTAAAATATCTTAGGCAAGTTTTAATTAAACTCCCAAAGGGACAGAAGACTCATACAGAATAAAGAAAAGTAGAAATAGGTTCTATCAGAGGAAGGTTTAAGAGGAAAAAGTGTCACCCACCCTTCTGCCACAGCAGGAACAAACCAGCAGTATTGAGAAAGCATAGGGAACTAAGGCCATTCAAGGTCAAAGAGCCTTTTGTATTCTAAAAGCTTCTATATCAATCAGCACAAAAACTAGAGATGAAATCTATAAAGAAAGACTAAGTTCAAGGTGGAGAAATTGGCACTCTATCCTAGACAGAGATTCACTCAGGAGAGGTGAAAAGACTTAAAGTGACCCCTCACTGCACATGCACACTAGTGAACAACAGGCAGCCACACACACTGGCACACTGGGATGCTCCCTTTAGTGACAGTGGAAATTCTCTTCTGTTTATGTGCTCCTTTAAGTGTAAGTACTTTTACACAAGAGTCAATTAGTCTCTTAGTACACAACGGCTGAGCTACAATACATTTCAGAATTGCTTCGCTATACCCATTGCCTGTATTCTAAATATCATTTTAAGTTCCTCCATCCCTCTGTTCCCTTTCCACATTTTAAAATGGCTACACTGAAGTCTACTTAGAGCAGACAGTCAATGTGGTACTTTCTAACTTATGCTAAAAAGCTCAAATTGTCACCATCAGTGCATGCGGTCACCTCCTACAGTCATGACAAACAGGGGCATTAAGGGAAAACAGAATAAAGAGGAGCAGGCCTTACACGTCATTGAGCTCAGCTACTCGCCCAAGAAATTCCTCATAAGTTAAGGAGCCACTTTCTCGAACCAAGGTGACGTGCTTTACTACTTTTTCTGGTAACTTGTTAATAACCAACTGCGTCTGATCCGAAATTTGCTGTCCCATGGTGAAATGATGTCTTTCAGAATTCAGAAAGAGTTCTGCTTCACATAGTTTCTGTTAAATAAAATGCAAAAGTTATTTTACATAAATATAAAGACACCAATATACTCTTTGTCCTAGTTAGGGTTACTATTGCTTTGATGAAACACCATGACCAAAAGCAACTTGGGAACAAAGAGTTTATTTGGCTTATATTTCTTTATCATAGTTAATCACTGAAGAAAGTCAGGACAGCCACTCAAACAGGGCAGGAACCTGGAGGCAGGAGCTGATGCAGAGGCCATGGAGGGACGCTACTTACTGGACTGCTCCTTATGGCTGGCTGACTCTGTTTTCTTATAGAACCCAGGATCACCAGCCCAGGGTGACCCCACTGACAATGGACTGGGCCCTCCCCCACTGACCACCAGTTAAGATGACCTACAGGCTTGCTTACAGCCCCATCTTATGGAAGCAATTTCTCAGATGAGGTTCCCTCTTCTCAGATGTCTTTAGCTTAGACGAAGCTGACATAAAAATATTCAGTATACCCATCCTTCAAAAAAAAAAAAAAAACTACAAGTACCTGAAGGGGGGATTCAGTCAACTCAAATGAATCTGACATACAATGTATCTAACCATAGTCTTTAAAGTAAAGATTTATGTTAATTTTTCAGAATCATACAGCTAAATGATTAAGGTACTGGAAGAGGGAATGGGTCTCTAACTACCAAAAAAAGTCATTAAACACACACAGACATACACAGACACAGACATGCACGCACGCACGCACGCACGCATGCACACACACACACACACACACACACACACGGAAAGAGACAGTCAAGTGACTACATTTTCCTAAGAACATTTCCAGGCTGTCTCCTATATGTCACACTCCAAACTAAATGCTCTCCATATGTGACATCATTTATTATTCACAGTATGCTATAGGGTAGATGTATTTTTGTATCCTTATTCTATGAGGAACGAAGTGGTTAAGTCCATGGTATGAGGCAGATGTGAAGTTAGAATTCCCACCTCAAGAAATTTCATTTCACCGGGCAGTGGTGGCGCACGCTTTTAATCCCAGCACTTGGGAGGCAGAGGCAGGCTGATTTCTGAGTTCGAGGCCAGCCTGGTCTACAGAGTGAGTTCCAGGACAGACAGGGCTGCACAGAGAAACCCTGTCTCGAAAAACAAAAAAACAAACAACCAAAAAAAAAAAAAGAAAGAAAGAAAGAAAGAAATTTCATTTCATTTACCATTTAAAAAAAAATCTATCTTTTACTCAATTAACACCTTTACCACGTAAAGCAAGTAGTAACAATTACTTAGAAGAGAATCTTAGCTTGCTTTATCACTTAATAAAAATGACATTATAGCTTTAAATATAAATACAAATAAAAATAAAAATAGATATAAATATAACTATAGGGCTGGCAAGGTGGCAAAGGCACTTGCTGCCAAGGCTGACAACGTGAGTTCTATCCCCAGGACTCACAAGATGGAAAGAGAGAACCAACTCTTGAAAGTTGCCTCTGACCTCCACATATACACTGTAGTATGTGCAGCCCTAGACACATATACACATATACACAAGACAACTAAACATTTAAAAGTATGACTTCAAAATATATAGCCATAAATATATATCACTTTCAGTATTAAAATTTAATGTACTGCCTGAGGAGTATTTAAAAATTACTTTAAATATAGCAAAAGTATAATTATACTAAAAACAAAATTCCCCCATTACTATTTTCAATCTGAACATATATGGTAGCAATAAATACTGTACTAGAGGGATAATGAAAAAGAAGGACACTCAGACTACCAAAACCTAACCTCTGAAGGCAAAAGATTGCATTTTAAGTATGTCAAAGTATAACAGGTTTGTACCAAGTACATCCAAAGAGGAACCATTAAGATTCCCAGCTTAGAGAAGGTGTCCAGGGAATTCACCTTAGTGGTTCCTGGGTGGTACAAACTAGTGACATCTCTAAACACAATAGTGTTGAACTCCATTTTATTCTAAGCAAGGACACTTTCCAAACAAAATTTCCCAAATTCCCAAAACCTAAGAAAAAATATAAAATAGAACTTATAAAGTGAAAATAAGGGTATGGCAAAAAACAAAACAAAACAAACAAACAAACAAAAAACAACAAAAACCTATCAAGAAAAGCAGTAACTTTACATTTAAGGAATATAGATATTTAAATGAATGCTATCTTTACCCTTCATGTTCTGGTTCAGATGTGTAGAAATAACATAAGTAAATGTCTACAGACCAACTGGAAACAACTGTCATACATGGTCTTTCTAAAACTTATGTTTATCTGGGTGGTGGTGGTGTACACCTTTGATCCCACCACCTGGGAGGCAGAGGCAGGCGACTGCTGTGAGTTTGAGGCCAGCCTGGTCTACAGATCGAGTACAGGACAGCCATGACTACACAGAGAAACCCTGTCTTGAAAGCTAAAAATAAAGAAATAAAAATATATTTAATAAGTACTGTGTGTGGTGCTTATGTCTTAGAGACAAGATGGTGAGTAAACTTGAAAAGACAGGGTTCTTGGCACCACAGGGCACCCAACACAGTTGGGGGAAGGGCAATAGTGATACAAATAAGTATATAATTACAAAACGAGCCAGGCGGTGGTGGCGCACGCCTTTAATCCCAGCACTTGGGAGGCAGAGGCAGGCGGATTTCTGAGTTCGAGGCCAGCCTGGTCTACAGAGTGAGTTCCAGGACAGCCAGGGCTACACAGAGAAACCTTGTCTTGAAAAACAAAACAACAACAACAAAAAAAATTACAAAACGAGAAGCACTAAACTAAACAAGTACAGGGTGACTTGAAAGCCTGGAAGAAGGCGAAAGACACTGGTCTTGAGTTGGAAAAGAAATTCTGGCAAACACTTGAGTCCAGAAAGATAGTCTGGGTTTGTAACAGAGTCAGGGCATGGTGGGAGGACATTTTAGGCAGAGGTCTTCCAAAGCATGAGATAGGTAGATCGCAGTACCTTTGAGGGAAATAAAACACACTGGGGTTACTTAGAGAAGGGAGCTATTGACATCAAAACAAAAAACAACATCAAGATGGATATGTAAGATTTTTTTCAGATAACTGGAAGACAAGATTAGGTCTGCTTGCCCAATCTGGCTGACTGAAACTAGAATGAATGAACCATATCTATTCAATAAAGAGACTTGCTAAGTCTATAACTACAGCAGGATATTAACTCTTGAATGTGTTCTGAAAAGCTGACTGCACAAAAGCACCAAGGTAAGATGTGCTTTAAAGCAGCACAAAAACAGAAGTCCTGAGGCTTTAGATTAAAATAACATTATAATAGGTCTAGCAAAGATGTCAAAATAATTCTAAATTCCTGCTAGGAACAGATGTCTACAGCAAGGAGTCTCCTACTCTACTGGGTTAAGCAGGAGGGCATTTGTTTGTTTGATTGACTGATTTTCAGTTCAAGGCAGTCACACCTTTAAAAGAGTAGAACATATTTAAGTCTCGGGTCTAGAAACAGAAACAAGGCAACTTACTGTGGCTGAGCACAACTAGGTAATGACCAGGGCAGCACAACAGCCTGTTCAAATATTTGATGAGCTGTCACATGGAAGAGGAAGTGAGATTTTTCATGCGTACAAAGAGATTAGCCAATAAGTTCAGAGGGAAAGTCCAGACTTACTGTAAGAATGCCCTACCAGCCAGCGATTGGAAGTGCTATTGTAACATACGTGAACTTCTCAATGACATGATACGAAAATGTTTAAAGATTGCAAGTTTATCCAATGAGCGGCATAGAGAATTTTCCAGGTGCAAAGTGGAAGCATTAATGTCTAACCCAGCGATTCTCAACCCCAAAAGAACATCAGAAAGCACAGGTATTTCCATAATTATAACGGTGTCAAAAACAGTTATGAGGTAGTAAACCTAATTTTATGGCTGGGGGTCATCATAACATAAGGAACTGTATTTAAGGGTCACAGCATTAGCAAAGTTGAGAACCACTGCTCTCAAAATAAAACCTAACTTCCTCAAGCTTTGCTGTATCAGCTTAAACAGTCAGACTCTAATCAGACAGCCTGAAACTTCCAATTCCATCTACATTACCTAACAAAGGAAACCAAACTTCTAAAATGGTCTCAAAACTTAATGGAACTCATGACAACTGAATTAAAATTTGTAGGGAGGTAACAGTTTCTTCCTTTACTTTTGGATCTCCAGCTGTTCCCAAGAATAACTGAATAAATAGAAGAAAACTACACACGTTGTGTGGAGAAGTCTTCATAAGAAAAATAAGACTCTAACTAGGACCCAGGGCACATATACTTACTGGACAAAGATGAGTAAATTGTAAAAAAGATGACAATAGACTTGGGGGTAGGGCTTGTAACTGTGGGAAAGTAGTGAGGAACGAGTTACTCAGACAAGTCTGTGGTGATTTCTCTTGGCTTTGAGACCTATCTCTGATCGTAAGATGTCTTCCTTTCTCCAGGTAAAAGGTACTTTCATCACATGACTGTCTCTTCTATCTCTTTAAGGAAGAAAAAGGAAGATTCCAGTACACTTCTTTTATCTGCTGTATTTGTACCTTAAAAGGCTTCTCATGCCCAAGTGTCTTATTTTGATACCCTACATTGCTCTTCAAAACCCATCTGAAAAGAAGCCTTTGTTGTTTCTTGAATTAGAAAATGTTGCATTGTCTCCCTGGTACCCTAACTTTGAATGGCAAGGTTTATAGTGTGAGGTAGCATATTGTTTTCCTGTAACTGTGTTTAATATCCAGAAAACTGATTCAATGACTCATGCCTACCTGAGGGCACGGAATGAGGGTGTTCAAACTGGCTAGGAGGGAAGACCCTGCATTTAACTAATATTAACCAATTTCATCAGTAGTGTAAAAATATGATTATTTACATATAGTATGGAGCCACTGAGATGAGTATCCACAAAAGCAATCTGCTGAGACCACCCTTCAGTCACCAACCTTCTCAGTATTGCTCTTTGAAGATTTATATATTGTTATCACAGCATGTACCGTTCAATCAAGTCACTTTACTCACTTCCCCCATGAGTTCTTCAGGACACACACCTGTGCTCTTGCTTCTGGGTAGTAGGTAAGTCTATAGCATTTCTCTGGTCAATACAGAAATTTTTTTTATCATTCATCTAGTATTCTTTTATTAGCTCAGTCATCCACACTAATATGACATAGAATTTAAAATTATATTTATGAATAAAATTGTGAAAACTTATCACACACACACATCACACACAAACACATATGAAATCTTCACAACAAAGTATCTCTCTTGAAATCATAGAGCAGAAGTATTGCTTACATAATATGCAAACCACTGGCAATAAATTTCAGTAAAATACAAGTCTGTGGTCAAAATTCCTCAAGGAGCTGTGATCTCTTCTAGTAAGAAAGAGATGTGCTTCCCGACAGTAGCCTGAGGATTTTCTAAGTAAGAGCTGTTATTCTGAAACTCACAGGAACATCAAGGATTCCAAGAATATGCCACATTCTTCAGTGGGTGGCATATACAGTTAACTGCTTCTTTTTCTAACAAATGAGTTGCTGTAGTTCAAGTATTCCTTATAAGAATATAACAACCGCATCACTAATAATTCTGATACAAGGAATTTCCTGAAAATGTGAAACATCAGCTGTTCAGAAATGACGCAGAGGGAAACTAAGTCCATCAAAGCGCAAGACGACTGGGTGAGGGCTGGAAAGTTCAGCTGGGAAAGCGCTTCCAAGAAGCACCAGGCCCTTGGTTCTATCTCTGAACCCATGTGAAAAGACAGAGCAGTGGCACACTTGTGATCTTAGTGCTGGGAGGGCAGAGACAGGAGGATCCCTGGGACTTGCTGGCCACTAGGTGTAGTATCCAAGGCTGACTTCTGGTGTCACACCAGATGACTAGTGGACAATGACTGCAGTACCAAAGGCACCTGTGAAATTTGTTAAACTTTGTAACATCTTCCATCTTAGTAATACATACTAAGTTCTACAACTGGGACTCAAAGGATACTACTTACTTTATTATTCACTATTTTCACAAAGTCTAAATTTACAAAGAGGTACTAGCTGTTGAAATTAACACAGATATCCAATGATTAGGTTGGTCAGAGTCGGTATAAAATCTAGAATGCCTGTTCTGGGGTCAAAGGTATTAAGGAGGAGAAATAAAACTAAAGAAATCTCAACAAACAAACAAACAAACTGAAAACCTATATACAAACAGAGTATTGAGTAATTGCTGGAGTTCTAATAACACCAGTGTGTTTAGTAACTACACTTCTGACTTAGAAAAAAATATATTCTCTTTCCACTTTCTCTACCTTTTTAGAAAGAGAAATCAACTTCCTCCAGTTAAGAGAATTTCAAAGAATATATATCCTATATGTCCCTTATATATATGGTTCCCCTATACCAAATGACAAAAACAACATATTCTTGAAAAACACAATCATATTAAGGAGGAAAATAGAAATCGAAACCAGCCAGCACGGAAGGGGTAAAACAAAATCCATGCAACTCCCGAGGGTTCTGAATTCAGAAGGCATTACTTCTCAAAGACAACTATCAGGACCATTGGTCGGGTGGCAGTTCACAGCCCAGGTAAAATTCTGAAGAATGAACTTCATCCTACAGCAAGCATGGTAAGGGGTGTGTGAAAAAGATAATCTTAGTTTGAGAAATAAAGATTAAAAGCAACTGAGAGTGTTACTAGAGCTACATGTATGCCAATAGAAGGACATGAAATGCTGGGCATCAGGAAATGGGGCTGGGTCAGAATATGAAAGCACACTGCCATTTATTTAATAGGTAGGCTGGAGACAAATTCCAACAATAGTAACCCCACATTTTGTAATGAAACTGCACACAGAAGGCAACTTACCCTACAATTATGATTAGCAAGGAAACTTTTTTTTAAAATGTCGGTTCTCAAGGTAGCAATTAGCTTGACAAGCAAAGACCCAGGTGCACTGCCAGGGCAGCTTTAGTAGGAGGGTTGGCCAACACCACAGGCCCAGGCTTTCCCCTCAGAAGTCTTGCCCTGTGGCCACCCTGTGGCTACCCTTCCGCCCCGGCCCCCGCCCCTAGGCCCCTCCTTGGCGCACCTGCTCCGCTAACCAACAGCTAAACTGCTCAGTGCGCCAGCGCCAAGATTCAAAACAGCGCGAACTGGTCCCTGAAACCTCTCCTCGACGCCACGACGAAGGCGGACCCAGAGCATCCACCCGCCCCTGGAATCGGCGCCCAAAGTCCGCAGCCGAGGCCCTGACTAGTGGGCCCTAGCTCCCCTGAAGCCCGGTTCCACACCCTGGTGCTGCCCAGGCCTCCACTTCCTGCTCCAGGACCGTGGAGCGGCTGGGAAGGGACGCAGCGAGGGGCGGCGCTGCAAGGCTCACCCTGTTCAAGGCATCGCTCTCCCCGCGCCAGGGACGCCGCCTTGGCCGCTGCTTAGCTAAACCCACTAGGCGGCAGCGGCGCGGTCCGCAAACCAGTCGCACCTCAGTGACGTACGGCCACGCCCTCACGCGTTGCCTGGAGACGGAGCTCCACCCCCCCACCCCCCTTGCTGGCTTTGGAGGCTTCTGTGGCTAAAGACTGCTGGCAGAGACAGGCAGGCAAAATATTCACATACATAAAAATCAATAAAATAAAATAATTTTGTAAAAAAGACAAAAAATGAAGAGGCAAGTCACAGACTTCGGAAAAGCAAAATACATTTAACAAAGGACTTCTAATTAGAATACGCAATTCTTACCCCTCCCAAAAAAATGTGTTTTAAATGGCCAAAGACTAGACGAGTCTTCTAGAGTTATGGACAGCAAATAAGCACATGAAATGATGTCTGATATTGTTATGCAAATTATAAGGAAAACGAATTATCAATACAATACCACAGTGGCTAAAGGGAAAAGAACTGTATTAAATATTGACAAAGATGCTGAACAAGTAGAATTATAGATTGTCTGTTGTAAAACGATACAATCATTTGGAAAGAGATTGTGGCCATTTCTTTAAAACCTAAGCACAAACATTCCAACCACATAATCCTGTCATCTTGCTTCTAGAATTCATCCACATGAAGACTAGTACGCCAACATCAGATACCTGCTATGGTTTGAATGAAAATGGTCTCCATAGGCTCATGGGGAATGGCACTATTAGGAAGTGTAGCCTTGTTGGAATAGATAAGGCTTTGTTGGAAAAAATATGTCACTGAGTATGGGCTTTGAGGTTTCAGATGCTTAGGCCAGGCCCAGTGTCACTCTCTCTTCCTGCTGCCTGTTGATTCAGATGTGGAGCTCTCAGCTACCTCTCCAGCACCACGTCTGCTTGTGTGCCTCCAGACTTCCCACCATGACTATTATGGACTAAAATGCTGAACTCTAAGCCAGCCCCAATTAATTGTCTTCCTTTATAAGAGTTTCTGTGGTCATGGTGTCTCTTCACAGCAATAGAAACCCTGTGACACATATCAACCGGTGAATGGAAAACAGCTAAAGTAAAGCCACACAATGGAATATTACTCAGCAATCATAAAGAATACATGATTGACACACTTAACAATGTGGATGAGCCAGAAATACTTAGACTGAAAGAAGATAGACCTTCCAAAAATATTGTAGAACAGCCTCCACCCGCAGGAATCTTTAGTGACAAAATCAGATCCGTGGTTGCTTAGAGGACAGTGTCAGGTAGGAAACACTGCAGTGTTAAAATGGGGATTAGAGGTGACTCACTCAATGGTAAAACACCTGCCTAGCATGCGTAAGCCTTGGCTCAGATTCAAACACCAGTCCTCCAAACCTTCAAAGGGTAAGAAGAAACATTTTAGGATACTAGCTATGTTCCCTGTCTCAGAGCTTGATTGCCCCACAGACGTGAATATAATATGAAAACTTCTCCAACTGTACACCTTATCATATATAGTTTACTATATGCCAACTGCATTCTCAAAAAGATATGGGGGAAAGATGTAGCTTCTTCATTTTTTAAAGGTTCATAATTCTGTCTAATCTGAACCTAGAAGTCAGAAAAATCACTCTCTATAGAGTACAGTTTTATAAAGTGGAACCTGTATTTCTTTTTATAGTGAGCATTACAAAGACTGAAATAAAGGAGAGATTACAAGATCAAGATGATATAAGGTGATAGTTATATTAAAAAAATAATGACTATCTAGGCAGCTGCTGCTTAGCATAAAAAGTTTCTTTTTAAGTTTGCATAAGCATAATGAAGAAGATAAACAAAATAATATGACTATTTTATTAGTAAGTGTTACTCTAAACATATGTCTTAGTCATTTTCTATTGCTGTGACGAGACACCATGACCATGGCAGCTCTTATGAAAGAAAGTAATTAACTGGGGTCTGGCTTACAGCTTCAGAGGCTTAGTCCATGTTCATCATGGCAGGGAGCATCAGGGCGTGCATGATACTGAAGAAGTAGCTGCCAGCTACATCCTGATCCACAAGATCAAGAGAGAACCACTGGGCCTGGAGTGGGCTTTTGAAACCTCAAAGCTTCAAACTTCAAACCAGTGACACATTTCTTCTAACAAGGCCACACTTATTAATCCTTCTAATCCTTTCAAATCGTGCCACTCCCTGACAACTAAGCATTCAAATATAAGAGCCTATGGGGGCCACTCTTATCCAAATCAACCACAAAGTATGAATAATTAACCATCCTCTGTCATAAGGTTATTCTGTAGCAGGACAAGAAAATGTCTTTCTTGCATATAGCAAAAGTGTTGAAATGTTTATAGGAAATTAGATAGATAGATCATAAGAGTTATGGAAGAAGTCTCTAAGTTCATCTTCCTAAACAAAAGACTGTCTTTTCAATAAACAATGTAATTTGTCATATGTATTCAGAGCTTCACAGTTTAGGAATTTTCCACTCAGTGATAATATGAGGATTGAATGCACTCGCGGTGAATACAGTCCCATAGTGATGCTCAGAAGCATTTGTCTTTTGAAATGTATATATATATATATACTTTTAGGAAGGTATGTCCTAGGCCTCCTATCAGTCTGTAAGGTCACTGAACATCTGTGTCAGGACTGTGAGAATACTGTGGAAGACTGAGTGGCAGACACTTATCAACTTCCTGTATGTAATTGATGAAACTGCAAGGTTGACAGCGCTGACTTACAACCATCTGCCCCAACATTCCTTATAGATGAGGAAACGGAAATCCAGGGGTAGGAAGTGATGCACCCAAGAACTACGACGTGAGTGGGTGTGAGTGGGTTAGCCTCCAGAGTTCCCAGGCTACCACTCTGTGCTTTCCTTCACAGTATATATATCACCTTCAACTCTCAGGGTAGAACACAGAAAAACCAGTTATTCATGGTTAAGATCAAATCTCTGGCTGGGCAGTGGTGGCACTTTCTTTTAATTCCAGCAGAGACAGGAGAATCTCTGAGTTGGCGACTAGACTGGTCTACATAGTGAGTTCCAGGACAACCAGGGCTTCTCAGAAAAACCCTGTCTCAGGGAAAAAAACAAAAACACCAAACCATCAAATCTCTGTTGTCTTCTAGGATGCTGCACTCTGGTGTTTCTACATCCCAGTCCATCCTTTCTTTGTCTGCTTCTGCACTCTGGTATAGGGCACTATGGTCTGCACTTAACCCTCAGATTTTATTCTCAGATCCTTTGGGAACTCAAACATTCCTAGCTTTATTTTACTTATTGCCAATTCTTGTATTTCATTGGCAATCCAACCCTGCATTGCCATATTAGCAGAAGGAAGCTCCTATTGGCATGAATGAACTGTAGCAATGAAACCAGAAGTCAACAATTTTCACATGAAAGTGGCTTCAGGAATCCAAGTGTCAGTGCTGGTATCAGCAATACCAATTGAAGAGATGGCAGTGTCCAGAGGACTCTGTGGTGGTGGGAGAAGTGACATCAGTCGCCAGGGGAAAGGTGTCATCTGAGAAGAAGCACTGTGATATTTACGATGGTGCCAGAGAAGCAGTGTGCTGTCTGGCAAGGTCAGTGGGCAGTGCCGGGAGGATTGTAGGAGCTGTGTTCAGTGGAGCCAGTGGAACTGGTGGATGAGGTGGCACCTAGAGGAAATGGTCACAGTGCTTAGTGGGAAATGAAAAAACCAGCAGAGATAGTTGGTGTGCTCTGCAGAAGGCACAGTAGTGAGCGGAGCAGAATTAGGCCAAAGACAATGGGGAAAACTCAATGGATGGATGAACCACACCGACTTATGACCAAGTTGAGTAATATGCTTGTGCATAGCCTGGAGGGTTGGTACACTGCTCCAAGAGTGTCTTTCTGATTTTAGATAAACCAGAAGGGTTGGGCAGCTGCTTTAACAGATCCAAGGGAAAGAAGGCCATAGCAGCGCGTCTTGAATCATAGTTTTGGGAGAGGGAAATAAAGGAAGTCTAACCATTACAACAAGGATAATCTCCTCTTCTCCATGTTGTGTTAAATCAGCCATTTGCTCCCTCACCCCTGCCTGCTCAGCCCCAGGGTCTCTGAGGAGGCTATTCTGTTGGCATAACCGGAGACTTAAGTAGGATTCATAGTGAGAAGTGTTCAATGGGCATTAAAGATCTATTTATCAAACCTCATTAGTCACTTCTGATTGATTCAATGAGACTCTTCCTCCACACAGATGCAAACCTCAAGCTTACCACTGAACGTTGTCATTCTGAGTGAGCATAGTTGTGTTATGGTTTAACTGCACTGGAAACTCCCATGCAGGGCCAGCAGACAAAGTCTTACTTCCATCTAAGTTAGGGTTAGGTTTGCCTCTTGTCTCTGACTTTATCTCTAATGCCTACTAATTCCATACACATAAATGCAACCCCTCCCCCCAAAAATATCAAAATTTTGCCCATGATTGTTCTTGATTGTAGAGGTAAGCTGATGTCAACTCGGAGAGAAAAGGTCATGTTTAATAGTCTTAATTTATCCTTTTGGCTAGTTGACAGCTGCATTCTGCACCAAGGGAAAGCCATCCAGACAAAACTAGGTCAGCAGGAACAATTAGGTGTATAGAAAATATTCTTAACATTCAATACTGGTCTCAAAGTTTCTACACATTCACTCATTCAGCATTTAATGAGAGCCTATGTTATTTATTTTTAAAGCAATGTATTTATTTGTATAGCTATGTATGCAGTTCTATCTGCATGTATGTCTGTGCACCACCACATGCATGTCTGGTGCTCACAGAGATGAAACCCCTGAAACTGTTGGACCCCCTGAAGCTGGATTGATGATGGTCGTGAGCTGCCATGTGGGTTCTGGGAACAGAACCTAAGACTTTTTCAAGAGCAACCAGTGCTCTTAACAGTGGGGCATCCCTGCAGCCCTCTGAGAGCTTACATTGTATGTGATATCTTTATGTATCTGCACAGATGTTAAGAATGAAAGGAAAGATAACGTATGCAATTATAACAATGCTAGGTGGCATACCCTAGCATGGCAGCATAAGAAACTGCACATGGGGGCAGGAAGAATTCATTACCGTAGTAGGAGACAATCATCTAAAGTGGCTCTCCAAGATCCCCACTTCCCGGTGTGCATGTGCTTGCATATGCCTCTCTTTCTATGAGTGCACTGAACATAGTGCTTACTTCTGACTTATTTATTATTGTTACCACTTCCAAGATTAAGGCTAAAAGACAACGGCTGCTCTCAGTCTCATTCTTGCTCTCTGGCTCCTCCCTTCCTGCCTCTCACGTGAACTTTGAAACAGAATGGGATGTAGGACCCAAGCCCCAAGTAACAGGCTACAGTGTATGAACCTGACTGTATAGCCATTGTCTTACAGCTGTGGCCAAACAGCAGAGAGGTGAGGAAAGATTTATTCACAGTTTGAAGGTACAGCTCATCACAGTGGGAAGGCATGGTAGTGGGAGCAGCTAGAGCCTGTGACAGCAGGAGCATCAGGCTGCTGGCGCATGTCTCCATGGACCAGGAAGCAAAGAAAGGGTGGGAAGTACATCTGAGCTAAAAACTTTAAAGCCTGCCCCAGATCTATTTCCTCTAAATAAAGCCTAGCTCCTAAAGGGTCCACAACCTCCCAGAGCAGCAGAATCGGGGGAGACCAAATGCTCAACCACACAAGCCTGTGAAAGATGTTTCACATTAAAACTGTGACACTGACCAACTTAAACGAGACCATTTGAAGCAAAGACAGCCCACAGGGTGATATATGTACTTCTGTGTCCATTTTACTTTTGCTAAGTAAAGATTATGATGTATCCCTTAAATTTTGCACAAACAATGTTTCTATAGAAACAAAGGAACAAAGAAGTTTCTAAATGCTTTATTTGTTTGGGGCACAAATATTCCTTTTCCTCTCAGGTTCTTCTTGCTGGAAAAAAAAGTGAGAGCTGATAATGCGTTTGTTAAAGGCACACAAAGTGTATATGTTGGTACATAGAGGTATTAATACACTTTCAAATACATTAATAATAAATTAAGGTTGAAATCGTTGCTGTATTAGAGAAAATAAATGGATTAGTCTCAGCAACAAAAAATTAGTTCAGAAGTAGATAAGCTAGAGATATCAAAGCTGGAAAAATATTAGCTTCAGATCACACTCCACTGTACATGAGTCTGCATTGAGTAATATCAGTTATGGAATGCCGTGCCTTACGTAGCTCCTTGCAGCTTTAACCCAAAAATCTGAAAACTAAACTTTTACCAAGCCTGAAACTGTTTGTGTGTCAATATGATGGCCCCCAGGAGGAAAATGCCACACCGTGAAACTTTATCTCATGTGGAAAGTTATTTTTAAATTTTAGTATGAAATTAGGCTAAGTGTAAAAGGTATGCATGAAACATAAGTAAACTTCATTTTCAGACCAAGTCTCACTAAAATATCAGTATGTATGTGAAAGTATCCCAGACTTCAAGCATAATCTGAAATTTGTAACACTGTTGGTACCAAGCATTTCAGATAAAGTGTTCTCAGCTTATAGTAGATTATCTGACAACATTTTTTTGTACTTTTCTTTTTTTACCTTTTAACATAGTTGTTTTCTCAGCAATGGGTCCTGTAATTCAAGTAAAAATGGAAATGCATATTTTTGTTTGTTTCTTCTATGTGTGTATGTGAGCGTGGGTGGAATCTGGGGATTGGACTGGAAGCCTTGTTTGTACGTGCCAGGCAAGTGCTTTACCACTGAGCCAGCTCCTGGCCGCTCGTGTTTTTAGGTTTCTTATAAAAGTGTATTTGTCTCTAGCGAACATCAGCAACATCAAAGAGAAAAGAAAGCGTGTCTGTGTTTTTAAAAGTGATGCAGGTCCATTAACTGAGAGGCTTCCCGGCCCCAGCCTGTATCGACAGTCTCTGCCAACAAGGCTGCTATCGATGCCCCCAGCTCCCATCTCACGCTCTGTTTATTTTGGCTTTCCAGAGATTAGGTGTCAAGTCACTAGGCTCTCTATGGTCTTCTGTTGTTTTCCTTTCCTTATTTTATGTGTGCCTGGTTCCAAAGAACATGACCAGATGGTGCGTCTCCCTGTGAGAAGATTTTGAACTATGGGGCTGGCCATGTCTCAGGGACTCTGGCCTTCATCTGGGATCAGGCAGCCTGGATGCCTGTCACTGAGTGTGAGCTGAGCAGCTGTTTTAGGAGCTGGTGCTTTGAAACCTCCGCTCTCTGGTCTGCTGTGAGACACCGATGGGCTAGGGAGGCTGTGGAAAGGTTGGAGGCCAGAGGGTAGATTCCGGAGAAGACTGCAGTAAGGAGAGGGTTCCTTCTGGTGAACTCTGCAGTCTTTTTCTGCAGGAACCAACAGTGGCTTGCTTCTTTGGTTCCGGGGTGTGAAACTTGCCTCAGCTGTACCTTCTCCACTCTCACGAACCTAAACTTCAGCTTCTAAGCATCGCACCGTAGTTTTGGATGGACTCTTCGGCTCCTCTGGGTTTTTAACCGTTTTCTTTGATTCTTCATTAGCATTGACGTCATCAGCCTTCTCTTCCTTTACAACCTTGGTTTCAATCATTTCCTTCTGTTGATTCTTGTTTGTGAAAGGGAAGGCCTTCACATACCTGTAGGAGCACACATATCACAAGGAAAGACTTCAGGTGACACACATCACAACAAATAGGACTTTGTCTACCATGGGGCAGTCTGGCATAGTTCCCTGAGCACCTTTACTTCAAGGTGACACTAATATAGTTATACTCAAATATATCACTCTCACATTTTAGTGGATTCTTTCATATTGGACAGTTCCCATAAGCTGGACTTAGGATGTCTTCATCCCTCTCCCTTAAACCCCAATTCAAATACAGTCTATGATTTTCCCTAAATTTCTTGACTTTGATGCCCACTGACCACTATCTACTGTCTAGATGACATATGTGTGGGAAGGTCAGATGGTAGTGACATCTAAAAAGGGGTGCCATAGCCATTTTGACCAAATGCCACTATGAAAGAGCACAAGCTAGTTGCACAGCAAAGGTGACAAGACTAGAGAAGTGCCTGCAACCTCACCTTTTCACGTAGCAAACTGCCAGCACAGCTGCAGCACCAAAGAAGAGGAGAGCCAGCACCAGCAGGGCTGTGGGGACACCTGGAGGGAAGACAGGGTCCATTGGTCTTTTGCTTGTACATGTGTGTCTGTGCATGCAATGATTCATGTTTACATGGGCTATAGATAAGAAATAGTGCAGAAGACCCTTCTTTGTGACTATTTTAATCATACTCACACACACACACTTTTATTTTTTGCATTGTGTGTGTGTGTGTGTGTGTACGTGTGTAAGTAGGTGGGTGCAAAAGTGACACTAAAGTGACACGGTTTAAATGTGGATGTCAGAGGACAACTTGTGGGAATCAGTTCTCTCCTTCCATCATGTGGGCTCTGGGGATTGAACTTACATTATTGGGTTTGGCAGCATGTGCCTTCACCCACCCAGCCACCTCACCAGCCCTCTATTTGCACTGTGGAGGGTTCTTTATGTCTCCTTTATCATTGCAATGTGAAGAGTGGAACTTGTTTCTTGAAGCCCTGAGACCCATCTCACAGGTTCATGTGAGAAACTGGCATTTGGGTTAAAGTCACATGAAGCCATGAAGATATGTATTTTGTGAAAACGCAAGTTTTCAGCAGGGCAGCTCTTTTATGCCCATGATGTGTCACCTGATCCTTGAAACTCTTTACAGAGCTATGAAAGCTGAGTCTGTGGAAGCTGAGCTTCCGCTCAGCTTTTATTTGTGCCTGGTGGGTGCTGAGTGCTCTGTCTGGGGATGAGCTGGGTAATGTGCACTGTCTGGTGAATACAGTTACTCGTGCCCATACAGACTCGGAAGACATTCACCTCCAAACCCAGCTTCTTCATTCTTGAATGCTGCTCCACTTTCAACAGATGCTTCTGTTTCTGTATCCATGGTGACAGGTTCTGTATAAACTTCCGTGATACAAATCATTTTTGTCTTCCGTGCCATGGAGGTTAAAGGTGGAGCCCGGGTGGTGGCAGAAGTAGACGTTGTGGAGTCTGGGGATGAAGCCAAGTAGGTGCTGCTGCTGACAGAAATCTCTGTTGCGGGTGTTTGAGTGTCGAACATGGGATCGAATGTGGTCATGATTTCTGGAACACAGGAGTTGACCCAGGTGTCTGTCCGAAGAAAGGAAAGGGAAAGGAGAAGTAAGCCTGGCAGCAAGACCTCACCAGGCCTGCAGTCAGAACTCAGGTCTCATCAAGATTCAAATCTAATCTCAGTTTCCTTCCTTCGCATCCTGCAGCGTCAGCCTCCACTGAAAGCCAGTGAGGCCCTCTGAGACAGCCTCCACTGAAAGCCAGTGAGGCCCTCTGAGACAGCCTCCACTGAAAGCCAGTGAGGCCCTCTGAGACAGCCTCCACTGAAAGCCAGTGAGGCCCTCTAAGAGCCCACCCAGCCAACACCCTGAGACTAGAAGACTCAGAAGTTCAGGCTTCCTCTCCACAGCCTTGCTGTCCTGCCAGCCCCTCAGCTCTTGCTGCAAGTTCTTAATCACCCTGGCTTTCTCTGCGATGCCTTTCCTACCCTTACAACCCCTGTCTGCTCTTAGCCAATTCTCCCCAGCTGTCAGGTTTACCGGGCCTGGCCAGACTTCTCTAGACTGGGTCTCTGGTTGCACATTCTTGTCTCTGCCTGATCTTGTCATCTTATTCTCATCATTTTGCCCCCCTCTGGACTGAACGGGAACTGCTTGGCAGCAGGAGACTAGTCTGATTTGATGATCATGGTCCTTCCTCTGTGCCCAGCATATAGTATGTGCTCAGAGAATATTTGATAAAGAAGAAATGGAGAAAGATAAGGAAAAATGAAAGAGAGGAAGGAGTAACTAGGGCATACATAAGATACTACTTTAGGACCAGATCTAAAATAAAATCTCTCTGTGCTCAAGGAGGGAGTTGGGAGGGAGGTACATAGTGTTTTTCAATCTGTTGGATAGGGTTGCTAGGAAACACATCTGTTGTCTTTTTTTACTCTGGGTCATCCATGGTGCCAGGTGTTTAGCATTTATCAAGGCTTCATTTACACAGGAAGATGCTGAAGTCCATAGACATCAAGTTCTCTTGCTCAACCACAGTTAGGAAATGACAAGAGCCGTACAGTGTCTTACAATACAAATTTACATCTATTTTAAACCCCTGATTAGTTATAGCAGTGGATGCCACTAACCAGAATTGTAGCTATAAAAGAAATAGTTTCATTAAATTGATTTGCCTTTGAAAATTAAATGAGTCACCAGTTATGGGTTTATGGAATACTGTCAATAAAATGTTTTGACCATACTTGCATCAAGTCAGTATTTTATTCAATTCATGATTCTTTGAAAACAGCCTTGTTCAAATAAACATCATTGTTGACCTCTGTCACCTTTAGTCTTGTTTCCCATTCTTTAGCATTTGCTAAGTTCTTCCCTCAGAGAATCAACATTTTAAAGCCAGGGAAGAAAACACAGAGAGCTCAGTAGACACTGCTGGGTTCTAAAACACACAGGCACATAAAGTACGTGCAGTTTCTGCTTCTGGCATGACTAGGGTGGAGTGTGGAAGGCTGATGCCACTTATTCAACAGAAACAGAGTACCATCTCCATCCCAGGCCTGTGGTCTAGATGCCAGAGACATAGCCCCTGTTCTTAAGAGGCTTCTGAACCATTGGAAGAACAGGGATGATAAAAGATAAATAAGCCACAGATTTCAGAATATTATAAATAGTGAAATGAAACTTAAACAGGGTGTCAGTTAAACTGGTAAAGGTGGAGATGAAGGCTGCATCCTTGGCTAGGGTGACAAGAGGAAGTATCCTGGGGAGACAGCACTTAACCTGAGACCCAGTGGTCAACAGTGGCCAGTCACTAGAGATCTAGGGCAGACACTGGAAGAAAACAAAAAGTGAAAGAGCAAGAACTCAACTCAGCTGAGCCCATTCAATGAACAAGAAACCCAGTGTGGCTGAAACAGAGCAGGGCTCATCTGTAGGGAGAGAACAGGATATCCTGGGCAGCAGGATGTGCGTGATCCAAGAATGGAGAAGTGGGCAAGTGCAGCCAGGTCAGGAAAGTGAGCGGGAGCAGAGTGTGGCTCTAGAGAATAGTGTGACTGTGACTGGCAGGAGAAAGCCTGCAAGCAGGAGGCAAGGCTGGAAAGATAGACCTGGCCGGGGTATATAGACTGCAAGTTACCATGCTTAATGGCTTAGAATTTACTCTGTAGGAGAGGGCATTTTCTACTGGGGTCCACAACCCTTTTTAACCATATTCACAAGGTTTTGTATACATTCTATTTTTATATGCAAAAGACATCACATGCTACATTCTGCATTATCTGGGACGTCACCCAAGGCTGTGGGGCAAACAGAAGAGTAAGTTACCAGTGGAGGAGGCATAGGAGAGGAGCCAGATGCAGAAGGAGGGAGAACATCCAGGAGCAGAGAAAGAGAGTTCTTGCAAATTGCATAGAAATAGGAGAATAGAAATGTCTGGTTCCTAAAACTTAGAAAGATTAGGAAGAGCACAAAAGTCCACCAATAGAAGGCAGGCTGAGTAAATAACTATACAGACAGCCACTCGAGCATATTAAAAACATGGCCATTAAGAATTAAAAATGTCTCTGTGAGTTGATCCAGACTAGTTTCAAGGCTATAAGTGGAAAAGCTATGCACAGAGTAGTGCATGGTACTCCAGATTTGCTTCTGTGAGAAAAGTTAACAATATCCCATCTACCTGTCTTTATGTGCAAAACAGAGGCACAGGCAAGAGATGCAGAAAGATGGAAGGATGGAGTCACACCTCCCTGATCATTTTGAATAGCAGCCTGTTGATGCTGTATGTATTTGAGAAAATTGAAGCAATAAAAGTTAAGCCCTATAACAAACCACAAACAGAAGCAAATAAACTTCTATTCTTCTCAAATGAGATTCTAATCACAATGGAGGTGGGGCTTGTCCAATCACTTCTACACTGAGTTCCCTGATCACCTGTCCTTGCAGAACTTTCTTCTGGAGTGGGGGAAGGGGGTGAAGCAAGCCCCAGTTTTACTCAATAGATTTGTTTCCCAAAGATACTGGCTTTGCTATTTTGAAACTGTTGTGGCACAAAAAGATGTATTGTCTATGAAGAACTAAGATTCAGGGTGTAGGAGAAGATAGATAAAGCAAAGTCAGAAAAAGTAAATTATTAAATTTGAGTTGGGAACATCAATATAAATGCATAGTTCACACACACACACGTACATGTACACACACATGCGTGCTCTCTCTCTCTCTCTCTCTCTCTCTCTCTCTCTCTCTCTCTCTCTCTGCTGAGACTCAATGGAAATGCTACTAGTAATGTGAAATACAGATCTTGGTTTCTGGTTAGCATTTTGCACCCAAAAGAATCAGAAGTCCATATGGAAATGAGCTGTTATCTCTCCACCAGGAACAGAGAGGGTACAAAGTGAGCCTGGGCCTGCCTCATTGTTAAGAAGCAGTAGTCACCTAATACTCCCACATATCAGATTTGGAACATGCACAGGACTTGAAAGAATAATAAGTATAAAATTTATTATAATGTGCTTGATATATTGAATAAATCAAACCTCACATGTCTGTGATAGCATAAGGTTGGAGGAAGTATGTGTATACATGCATGCATGTGTGTATGGGTGTGTGTGAGGATGGATGGAGTCCCCTATATAATAACCGTTTCCAGCAAGGATCACAATAGTAGTTTGGGGTGAGGATATTTGCATGGTACTAAATATCATATGTAAGGTTACGAACTAACTACAAATGAGTAAACATCCTTCTCACTTCATTTTCAATCTGTTAGTCACCATCTTAATCGAATAATCAAAGTAAAACAGTCAGTAATAGGAACCATTGCCGTTTGGTGGTGTTTGTTAGGCTGCGATCCCTACTACCCAATACCCCCTATAGCACGCAGCACACATTGACTGGAAGTTGAAGAAGTCTCTTGACCTTTCGGGGTGTAAGAAGTAATGTGGGCTGGGAGTACAACATAAACAAAAGCAGGAGGAAACAGATGAGTCTGAGGCCCCTTCCTCTCTCCTGTTTAGTCAGAGATGGGCACATAGCACTGTGCCGCCAGCAGGTGGGGAAGCAAAGCAGGACCAGCTCACAGGAATGGGGTGATGAGAGAGGCAGGCACACAGGTAACTAGCTCTTTAGCTAAGACAGGCTGGAGAGACAGAGAAGGATGGAGACATCATCAGGGTGGAAGGAGAATCAACTGCAAGTATTGACTCGGCTGCCAACTCCCCGCCCCCAAAACACACACTCTGAACTGTTGGTGAGGGGAGGAAGCAGGACGGACATCTCTAAGATCGCTTCTTATATCAAAGCTCTCTACTTCAGAGAATTGCTTGGAATTCCTGAATCCAATTTTGCTGATGTTGTTTGACAAACATTATCTCTTAGATCTTACAAATTAGTATTGAAATCTCTCTTGTGTATATATGACCACTCACTAGCTAACCTTCAGGAAGTCAGACATATGAGTATATGTGACAAGAAATGAGTCGCTTACGACACAGAGAACAACTGACAGGTAGTAGTTGAAAGAAATGTTCTGAGAAATGGCATAGGAAAGCCACTAGATTAGGGCAACCAAGGTCTATGGTCAAGACCATCAAGATGACTGCAAATCAGACGTACTCTCTAGGTTTCAACGTCTTCCTTCAAAAGAGGGAGATTGGTCCCTGTTCTCAAAATGTCAGGTGCAACATGTGAGTTATGTGAGATAGTGGAAAGGATGTGGTGTCAGAGTTAGACCCAAGCACGGCTCAAGTGTATCCTCCAGTGTTTGTGTGTTAGAATCCAATATGGCAATGCCAAGAGGTGGTGGGACCTTTAAGGGGTGGAGCCTAGCAGGAGGTCATGAAGGATACTGAAGGATCAGTGGGACCCTGGTTGGTGCAGAGATGCATTATACTCCTGCATCCCTCTCTGGCTTCCAATCTCAGCACATGTACCTCTTCTTCCACACATTCCTCCCCTTGTGATGACGTAAACCCCCTCTCCCTAGGTCAAGTTGCTGCTATGCCATGACTTGGACTATCCAGAAGTGCGAGCTACTCTTCCTTTCTTTATAAATTGCTCAGCTGCAGGTATTTCATCACAGTAATGGAGAATGTCCAACACAGATCCATAAGACAAGTGGATTAAAGTTCCCATGGCTACATTTCCTTGTTTGTAGATGAGATGATCAGGCTTCCTCAGGGGAAGTTCAAAGTTCTGCAAGATAGCTAACTTCTCAACTGCTTTCTCCAGAGGGATGCATCCATGCATATAGACATCTGTTTATTTCCCACTTCCTGTTTATCTTACAGGAAACCTGGGCAGTGGAGGTAATAACCAAGCATCTGGGAACCCCTGTTCTTATGCTACCACTCAGTTTTATTTTCCCTAATATTTTCCTCTGAGGGACACATTGCTCCCCACAGCCTGGTCTGGTAATATTTAGATAACCCATGACTGTTTCTGCTGCCACTCATGGTTGCTCATTTCATACAGGTCCCAGATCTTGAGACATCCAGAAAATGTGCCACATTGAACCATAGAAATGGTTCGGGGTCTGACTCACCAGATGAGTTGTGGCAATAGGCTTTGAACTTTTGGCTGGGAGAAGCGTTCCAAATCAGGACACCTTTGCCATTCTTCCCACACTTGGGGTTTGGGAAAATCCGAGGGATGACTGAGACCCGTTCTCCAACCCATCCGTAGCTGTAGGAGGATACACATTGGTTGAACTGACAGAGGTTAGAAGGCACAATGTCTACCGCTAAGCAAGAACACTGGCTTTAGTGAAGCTCTTCTTACCTGCAAGTCTCGAAGCCAGATTTCTGCGCTGATTCCACCTGGTCCCTGCTGGCCAGAGTCAGTCCCAGCATCTTACAGGCCTCCTTGGCTTCTGTGAAATTCATCTGTGCGTTTCTGCCCACAAGTGCGACGCCCATGATTCTGCATGTAGAAATGGAAAGGTCTGGAAAGAAATCATAAAGTCTTCAGTTTGCTTCTGGCCTTGTTCCTAGCTCTCAGGCTCTCCTTCCTCTCAGAGAATCATTGTCTTGATCCTGGTCTATGAGGCAGGTATTCATTTTAATTATGATAATACAAGCCAAGAATATCTCACAAGGACTGCCTGCTGGGTTAGATGCTTGTATCACCTGATCAAGGCTGTAAATCTCCAGATCCGGAGTCCATTGAGCGCTATGCACTAAGGAAGCTGCCAATGACACCAGGGCTTTAGCCATCAATCGGTCCCGGTGTTGGGGTCTAGGTGATTTAGATGCTGCAAACTTTTTTTTTTTTTAAAGTCTATGTAAGGAAGCCTCTGAGAGTTTAAGAAAGAACTCAGAGCTCTGGTTAACAGCAAAATCACTAACAATACTCCAAAATAATGTGTCCCTGTTTTTGTCCCTGTCCATGTACTTGCTAGAAGAAAATGTGAGTTCTCTGTTTCAGGTCCTTTCTGGCCATTGGAGGACAGGCTTACTCAGAAATTCCTGGAGGAGCCGGCAGGAAATCTTGCAGGACAGGGAAACTAAATAAAGGAAGTTGCGTTTCAGAGTCAGGGCAGGCTTGGCTATCACCTGCTCTCTGTAACTCTGAGACCTTGCGTTTGTTCCTTTATCTTCTTGAGCCCATTTCCTCATTTGGAATACAGAGAGAAACAATCTGCTGGACAGAGGGTCGCGGGCGTTAAATGAGTGAGTTCTAGCCGGACTTATCATCGGCCACATACTAGCTACTAATAGATAATTGTACAGAGCAGTGTCGTTTAAACTTCAGTTTTCTTGGGAACACTGAGGCAGTGGGACTGGTCAGAATATTTTTCTCAAAATCTAGTGGATTTGGGAACTCTTTTGACACATTTCTCTAGAACTTATGGGCTTATATAAAACTGCCATGTTGTATTATATACCTTATATTACCTTATTCCTGTTGAGCTTTATGAAAATCCATAACAAGGCCCTTTAGCCTTGCAAATAGTGGCTATGCAAGGCTCTGGCAGGAATGCTCAGCCTGTGGCCTATGGACCACACAAACTCTAAGATAGTCTAATGGTTCAAAAGTGTAAACTTACTTAAAACATTGTGAAATTTTCTTGTGAGATCCTTTCATACCTTCCCTCTCCCTCCCTCTCTCCCATCTGTTGAGCTCCGTCTATGAAAGTTCATTTCAAATCCCCAAGCCTGTGCGAAACACTCTGTGCCTCTCCTGCTGTTAATTGACTCTTGGGATCTTGGGGACAAGTTAGGGCTTTCATCTGTGAAGTTAGACCTTGTCAGGCCTTGTAGTTGGAATTAAATTAGATAACTTGTACCCAGCAGAGCTCCAGTCCATGGAAAACAGTCGCATATACAAATTTCATGCTTTCCAATTTCGCTTAGAAATTCTAATATCAACCTGGAATCCATGGTTACACTCCAGTCAAATCTTCCATAAGACTTCTTAGACAATGCCACAGAGCATAGGAGCGGTGTGTTCTTAGGAATCTGATAGGGTGGAGTCAATGACAAGAGTTAGGACCTTGTCATCCAATACCTGTGTGGCATTGGATGAAGTCCTCGGATGCACCGAGACTGTTTTTTCCACATAGGAAACGTTTTCCTGAAGAGAAGTCAGTGAGTCTCTACATATGCTCAATTCTGAATCTCTCTGTAACAAGCCTTTTAAGACGTTCCCATCTGCACCCACTCCTCACCTCAGCACCACTGAGGCCAGCTGCATGATGGCAACTTTCTGCTCTTTCCAAGAATTTAATTTTCTTAGGAAAAAAATTGCCCTTACTGAGGACGAAGCAAATAGTGTGGTCAGGATCCAAGAGCTAGAGACGTGGCTCAGTTTGGAGTGCGTGCCGAGCACACACAAAGCCTGCAGTTCCCACTTCCACACAGCGTAAGACTGAACACTACACACCTGTAATCCCTACAGCTACTAGGTGAAGGAAAAAAGGAGCAGGAATTCAAGATCATTCTCAGCTACATAGTGAATATGTGGTTAGCCTGGGCTACAAGAGACCCCCCCCCAAAAAAAAGAAAAAGAAACCAAACCAAACCAAACCAAGAAAACCCTTCCAAAATAACTGGTGCAATTGCAGCATTACAGGGCGTGTGTGTGTGTGTGTGTGTGTGTGTGTGTGTGTGTGTGTGTCCTTCTGATGACATTTCTAAGAGAACCAGGTTTATTTTAAAGTGAGAGTTCTGGTATTTGGGAGGGGTGGTGGCGACATAATCATCTACACTAATCTATCATAAAAGTCAAATCCGGAAATATATAAATTAACTCTGAACATCTGATCTTGAAACATCTCCTCTTTCAGCACATCTTCAGCAGAAGAACAGTTTCTCTTTAATAAACCTATTACTTCACTTGCCCAGAACAGTAATAAGTGGTGTGTGAGTTCAGCGTTTTTCCTAATATGCCAAATGAGGTTTCTGTGAATGCATCTCACAAACACAGAAGCAACTGGAGTTTCACAGCTGCTGATGGTAAAAATTTTAAACCCAAATTTTCAGTTAACTCCCTGCATATTAGATTTATTACAGATTAAAATGTCGAATTCCACTGGTGGCAGAATATCCTTGCGATTAAAACAATTGCACTAACACTGCAGTATAAAGTGTGCAGTATTTAATAAAGGTTACCCACTTTTCCTGAGGCTTGATGACTGCCTTCAATGTTTGTAACCTTGGCTTGCTTTCTGAATGAAACCCTTTAAAAACAAATGACTTCTCTTTTTTTTTAAATTTCAAACTATTATCATTAAAAACTTTCCATAACCCAAAATAAAATTCTAAGTGATGTGAACATGAAAATGAGTCATTTGGAGAGTCTAGCAAAGTAGTTGAGCCTCTCTGGCTAAGCAACAAGCCCCATGCAATCTGTTGACCTCACAAGTCTCCCCCACTCCCAACAGTTCATGGTCAAGAGCAGGGGGAGCCTAGGATGCTTCCCAAGACCTTGTGTAGCCTCAGTTTAGAAACCCGATAAGACACCTACCTTGCACTTTGATGGCACCTTGGACTGGATGCCTAGTGGTCCAAATAGAGGCAAGGAGTAACACCAGGCTAAAATGCTCGAGCATTGTGCAGGTCCCTCTGGAGCACTGTCGCTGGCCACCCCACAGTAAGGGAGACAGATGCTCAATCATCAAGCTGGATGGAGAGTTCTGGAAATATGTTGAGGATTTCCCTGCTTTCAAGCTTCTGATTTGTCAAAATCACTGGAGGAAATGAGTGACATCCCTTGAACGCCCAGGCTGTACTTTTGTGGATGGCTTTCTGGAACATTTAGCTAATGCTGACTCAGAAAGCACACAAGTGAGGAAAGCAGATAGCACTGTGTCAGCTGCTGAAGATTTCCTCAGTTCCCATATTCCCCTGTGAGCTCAGTTCCCACACTCTCCAGTGCGATGCTTTGCGGAGCCCATTCATTCACATACTCCATGACTGCCTCTGCCTCTAAGAGAGAATGAAGCTGGATTGTGTTTCTTTTCCTTTCTACAATCAGTACCCACCACTTATCAGATGTATTGCCTGGTAATGTGCAAGGAAATAATAGTGGGGCTTAGGATAGTGAAAGCTCTTTGAAACACCACTCCTTCCTTTGGAACTTCTTACATACACTGAACAGATCAACATTGCTAGGAGATTCATTTTTCAGAGAGACGAGATTCATAGAAAGTCTTATCTAGGGCTGAAACAGTAGCTCAACAGTTAGGAGCATAAGCTACCCTTCCAGAGAATCTGAGTTTGGATCCCAGAACCCATACTGGGCAGCTCATAACCACAGGGCATCTATACCATCTTCTAATTTCTGCAGACACCCACACTCATGGCACATACCCACTCACAAGCATGCATACATATTAATTGTTTTTAAAATTTATAGTTATAAAACACAAGTAACAAACCATTTATTTTTAAAAATTAGACATTTTGCACCTTACAAAAGGAGTTTTGATTTGTATAACAGTGATCACCACAGGGACTATTGTGTCACAGATCCTGTAAGTTACTTTTAGCTGGATGCTGGTGGATTCAACTCAGACTCCAACGTCTTCATCTGACACATACAAGAGACAGCCACACTGTGTTAAATCAGAATGCGCTATGTAACTCCAAATGGGATTTCCCATGGTTCTTCTTCAATAATTACATTTGGAGCTTTAGAGTAATGCCTTAAGCAAAGGGTTGTGAGTTTTCTTCAAAAGTAGGTGTCCTTTATGGGAATGATATTCTCTTTTCAAAGATTCAGTTTTTTTAAATTAATTAATGTATGTGTGTGTCCATATGTGACTATGTGCACATGAGTGCAAATATCCAGGGAAGCCAAAAGAGGGTGTCAGACCTTAGAGAGTTGGAGTTACACATAGTTATGAGCTGCCCAACATGGGTGCTGGGAACTGAACTCAGGTCCTCTGCAAGAACAGAACTTAGTTTTGTCCAGACTTGAATGTTGCCTGTTTAATTCAACACCTGAATCACGAGGATAACTAGCTCTACTTAACTGTACTGGTAACATATTTAGATATATGCACAGAAAATGTCAATAATGAAACTCTATTCTTCACAAACACAGAGCTTCTAGGAAAGCAAGGAAATAGTCCCTGAATATCTCCAATGTAAACTCGTTACTTGTTTGCACACAAGCCCTGAGGCCCACATAAGAACATGTGACTCTAGCAATGTAGTTCCAGAAAAAGAGGTAGGAATCATGTCCTTTTTAAATCATCCTTGATGCTTAGCATCATGAGAGAAAGAATAGATCATCACAACAAGAAGGGAGAGAGGACAGCAGGAAGGGAAAAATTAGCTATAGAAGGCGAAGCATGTGAGAAATAACTTAGGAGCAATGAGACGACATTGGGTTTTATAAATGAAAGGGCAGATGGGGCTTCTTGGATAAAAGGGGGTCTGAATGATTGCAGGGCTAAGCAGTGAGTTACCAAAGTAAGGAAACAATTTGTTCATGACCTGGGTGAGAGAAGAATTTAGCCACTGTTAGAATATGACTGGGAATAAATATTGCTTTCAAGATAGGCTCTTACTATGTAGCTAAAGCTGGCCTAGAACTTTTTTTTTTATTAAAAAATGACAATGTTATACATGTAGATAATGTGTTTTGATAATATTCACCCCATTTCCCTCTCTTTTTAGCTCTTTCCTGCTCTTCCTCAACTCTTTCTTCTCAGCATCTCCTTACTATGCTCATGTCTTTTTCCTATAACCCACTGAGTTTAATTAAGGCTGTTCACATGTGCATGGAAGTGGAGATGTTTGCTCTACCATGGACAACTTAGTAGCAGCTAATTTCTGAAGAAAAATGACTTCTCCTCTAGCAGCCATTAACTGCCAATAGCTGCTCGTGAGCAACCTTCCCTGGCTGGGATGGAATGTGATGGAATCTTGGCCCACATGACCACAGCTGCTATGCTTCTTCATGCCCCAAAGACGGGTTCTCACAGCACTCTTTCTAACTGCAGCTCTCATATTCTCTCTGCCCCTTCTTCTACCTATGTTCCTTTAGTCTTGAGGTGGGGTGGGGATGGAGTGAGGAATGGTAGAAATATTCTGATTAGGTCTGAGCACTCAGCAGCTGCCTAGTCTCAGCATTCTGAGCAACTAAAAGTCTATGTTTAAGAAGTCTACCACCTTCTTAAAAAGGAGCTTCTCTGTTCAAGGTGAGTGATTGAAAATTTGACTGGAACTCACTGCCTCTCCAAATATTACATATATATTATATATTACTATATCACATACACACATATATATGTAAGTATATGACTTTGATCTGAGTAAGATTTTTAGTTGCCTTTCAAGTTCAACACATACAATCACAGCTTGGATGGAGTAGAAGTTTTTAAAAATGGCAGGACAGAAATACAGTACTATCCAGAGTACTGGGCCGAGGATGATGTCCATATTGAGTTTAAATTCTAACACTAAAAAGCCACCTGCCCTGGAGCATATTTTAAGACCACTTAAATTCTCTGGGCCTCAGTTTTCACTGTCTGCCAAAGGATGAAGTTACAGGAACTTAAAAGCAACAGTAGTTCTATGGTCCTAGGTAAGGATTATTTTTAAGAAATATGCAGGTGGACAAATGTATTACTCACTGAAGTCTGACTGGTGTCACCAACAACCCCACAACTCAATGGCTGGCTTGAAAAGTCTATGTGGTGTCCCGGTGGCTGACGGGAGGTGATGGTGGGAATAGTGTGTGTTAATTCTGAGGACTCCACAGCACGGTTTTCTCACAGAGAGAGGGTACTTCCATCCGTCTTCTACTACTTCCAGAGTTCTCTTCCTGGATCTTCACAGTAACCAGCAACCCGGTAAAGAGTGTCGATCATGGTGCTGACAAACGCTTTCAAGGCCAAGCCTGGAATGTGTCACTCCTGTTTATAGTTGAGCAATCAGAACTTAGTCACATGTTCCCATCTAACCTGATTAAGGAGTTTTAATTCGGCTATGTACTCCAAGAGGAAAATGAGTTGCTGAACATGGAATGGTCTGTGCTTGAGTGTCCCTACCTGGTCACCCAATGTTCAACTCACTGTTTCTCCCTTTTGCAGAACACAATTCATTTCTCAAGAGAGGCCACTCATGGTCCTAGGCTGCACAGAGTCCATGATCTCTGAGCTATGCCCTGTCTTAGTTATTTTTGGACTTCAATGATAAGCCATGACCAAGGCAACTTATAAAAGAAAACATTTAGTGGGGGCTTATCGTTTCAGATGGTGAGCCAATGACTGTCATGGCAAGGAGCATAATGCTGGAGTAGTAGCTGAGAGTCTACACCCTGATCCATAAGCCATGGGCCTTTTGAAACCTCAAAGCTTGCCTCTATTGGTACACCTCCTTCAATGAGGCCACACCTTCTAATCCTTCCCAAACAGTTCCACCAAACTGGTGACCAAGTATTCAAATAGATAAGCCTATGGAAGCCATTCGAATTCAAACCACTACATGCTCAGTACTCCAATCAAGTATAGCCATGGCAATTTGTAGTCTGGTGACCTACGGGTTTAAAAGATTGTATACCACTCCCAACATGTACTGCTACGGCAGGATCGGGATGATCTCAATGAAGGGGAAGGATAGAAGTCCCAGCAATCGCCAGGCTTAAGAGGTTCAGTAGTGCCAGAGAAATGACATAATGAAGATCATTGCTGTGGATGGGATGCAGGTTGCGTGTTAATCAAGGGTCCAATGTGATTAAATACTGACTCTCCAGGGTGGTACCATGTTAGGAAGAAGGTTCTAGAGGGGAGTTTTCCTTGCAGTTCCTTTGGGAGTTCTTATGAGAGAGTTGTTATATAAGGAGCAAGCCTAGTCTGGTTACTCTCTTTCTCTCTGCTTCTAGCTTTGACACGTGACTGCTGGCTCCAACACCTACTCCTGTCACTACCATTTGTCCCTTTACTAGGAGTTCCTTGTCAGAACCAAACTGATAAAGGCACCATGACCTTGAATCTTCAGCACTGTGAAGCAAATGAACCTCTTCTTAAACTGAATGTGGTCATGCATGCCTATAATCCCATCACTCACAGGGTAGAGGCAGGAGGATCATGAGTTTGAGGTCAGGCTGGACTACAAAGTGAGAGCCTGTCTCCAAACAAACAAACAAACAAACAAGGCCCTGGGGACTGTTGAGGTGATTCAGTGGGTAAAGGTGCTTCTCTCACTGACTCTTAAAACTGAGTTCAATCCTCAGGGCCTACAGGGCAGAAGGAGAGAACTGTCTCCCACAAGAACTGGATTCTCTATCTTAGGGCTAACAGTCCCATCAAATGTAACACACTAGCAAGAGTTGTATCTCATAGTCAGAAGCTCCAGGAGCTGGAGGATGGCCATTGTCAAATTGATCAAATCTAGAATCATCTAGGTCCTGGACTCTAAGAGATGAGCCTCTGGCATGCCTATAGCGGGTTATCTTTAGGTTAATTGAGGTGGGAAGACCTGCCCACTTTGGACTGTGCCATTGCTTGGGATGGAATCCTGGACTGTATGGACAGCAGAAAGTGGGCTGAGGACATTCATCACTGCTTTCTGACTACAGTTGCAGTGTGACGAGCTGCCTCGTGCTCCTGCTGCCAGAATTCCCCACCAATACAAGCTGTACCACTGAAGTGTGAGCCAAAATAAACCCCCATTAGGCTGGTTTTGC